TTTACTCTGTTACTCACTGTTCCAAGCCCTTTATGTGTATTATGCCCTTTCATTGTCTCAAAAACCCTTAAAGGAAAGACCCTTTTTGTCCCCATTTTACAGATGAGCTAGCTGAGGCATAGGAAGGTGAAGTAACTTGCTGAAAATCACAGGTTCATATACAATAAAGCCAAGATTCAGACTCAGGAAGAAGACCATAGTCCTAACCATCATATTTTACAGCCACTCAACATCAGAGCTGATCCTGCTTTTTCTAGAAACACTCTTCTGCATTTGACTTTCCTGACACTACTAACCTGGTGTTCCTTTTACCTTTCTGAGCATTGCCTGTGTCTCTTTCTGGACCTTTCTCTTCCTTGGCCCACCTCTTACATACCAGTTTCCTTAGGCCTGTACCCTAAGCCTTATTTTTTCTTACACTATATACATTCCCATAGATTCAGTAACCATCTGCCTGCGGATAACTCCCAAATCCAGTCCTGCTTCCTGGACTTCCAGCCCAAATATCCAGCTTCCTACTCAGTATCTTCTCTTGGTTGTCTCTCTAATGAACTCTCAAAATTAACACGTCCCCAAGAGGACTCCTCTTTTATCCTCTTCCTGAACATGGTCCTCCATCTGTATTCCCCATTCCAGAAATAACAGCACTGCTGTCTACCCGATTTTGCATCCCTCTCACACTCCAGATCAAATGACCAGAATATGACCTCCATGAGGGCAGAGATCTTAGGTTCCACATGGTTGCTGCTGAGCCTCTAGAGATTAGCCCAATGCCTGATACATTGGAGGTTTTCAGCAAGTAAGGAATGAATGAATGCTGTAATCCTTTACCAAGTCTTTTGGTTCCGCCTTGAATCTATCCATTTTTCCCCACTGCCCCTGCTACTGCTCCAGTCCAAAAGACCAGAATCTTCCAAGCCAACTGTATCCCTGCTTCCATTCTGCCTCCATCTCATCCATTTTCCAGACTGCTGCCATGATAATATTTTTCTAAGGAAAATGTTATCAAATAACCTTCCCTATTCAAAATCCCTCTGTGCTGCCCTATTACCATTCAGCTATCAGGCCTCATGACCCTAGCTTGACCAGCACGGCACACTGTCCTGTAACACATTCCTCTCCCTCTCTTTAGTTCACTCCTCTGGTCTTCTGTTGGTTCCTCAAATACAAACGTGATGTCTCTTAACCTGAACTCATTCTGTGATGTCTGCTTGGCTTTACCTCATTTCATGTGGTTGACTTCTGTTCATCTTCCGTTACGCTTGAAGTTTGCACCCTTTGAGAGGACATCTTGGCTCCCTTCAGCCAGAGCATGTTTCTTTGTTTTATGCCTCTCTCGCTGACTAAATATGTTTAGTCCTTCTGTTACCCTCACCCTCTTGTCTAAAAGCTCATTTTCATCACCGTGAATCATCTGGGTATCCCAGTACCTAGCACAGTGCTCCATACATAATCACGTTCCATTGACTAAACGGGGTTTGGGGGGATTAGGAAATAGGTAAGGCCTTCCCTTGCAAACCTATAGTCAAGAAGTTGGCAGGGCATCCTCAAGGTTTTGGTAGATTGAAATTTAATTAAATCAACCCCACATTCCTTATAAAAATATGGAATTAAGGGCAGCCTGGGAGGTTCAGTCAGTTAAGTGTCTGCCATCAGCTCAGGTCATGATCTCAGGGTCCTGGGATTGAGCCCTGCATTGATCCTCTCCCTCTGCGCCCCCCCACCACCTCCGCTCATGCTCATTTGTTCTCTCAAATAAATAAATAAAACCTTTAAAAAGAAATATGGAATTAAAACCCCAGAGGCAGAATTGTCCCTCATATAGCTTTCCTATTTATCATGTTTTCTTTTTAAATCCAACTCCAATGTCAACATCCATTGTTAAACCTTTCTCTTCTTTCCCAGGCAGAGTTAGTTCCAAGCTCCACTCTGCTCCCCAGGCATCAGCTCTATGTTGTTAAAGAAGGAGAAAGTAAATGTGGGTGCTTTGTCAATGTTTATTGTAGGCATGTGTAGCCAGGAAACGAACTCTGAAAATCTAAGTGGAAGAGTTTTTGCAGGGTGAGACAAAGCTACATCACCTTATTCACCAAGGTTTGGGGATAGCTGTTTTTACTGACTAGTTTCAGACCTGGTCTTCACATCGTAAGGACCTCAAGACAAATGATCCAATTTAAAAACGCACAAAGGACCAGAATAGATCTTTCTCCAAAGAAGATACACAAATGGCCAATAAACACATGAAAGATGCTCAACACCATTAGCCATCAGGGAAATGCAAATCAAAATTGCAGTAAGACACCACTTCCTACCCACTAGGATGGCTGTGATTTAAAAAATGGACACTAAACAAGTACTGGTGAGAATGGAGAAATCAGAACCCTCGTACACTGCTGGTGGGAATGAAAATGGAACAGTCATCTTGGAAAACAGTCTGGCAGTTCCTCAAAAAGTTAAGCATGGTTACCGTAGGACTAACAATTCCACTCCTAGATATATACCAAAGGGAAATGAAAACATATGTCCATACAAAAACTTGTACACTAATGTTCAGAGCAGCATTATTCGAAATAGCCAAAACATGGAAACCACCCAAATGTCCATCAGCTGATGACTGGATAAATGAACGTGGTCCATCCATACAATGCAAGATTATTCATCCATAAAAAGGAATGGGGTCCTATACTATTACATGCCACAGCATGGACAGAACCTTGAAAGCATATCAAGCGAAAGAAGCCGGACACAAAAGATCCCATAGTGTATGATTACATTTCAGTGAAACGTCCAGAATAGGCAACTCCAGAGCCAAAAAGTAGATTTGTGGTGGCCAGGGATCGGAGGAAGGGGGAGATTGGGACTAACTGGTAATGGTATGGGGTTTCTTTGTGGAGGAATGGAAGTGTTCTGCAATTAGATAATGGTGATGGTTGCATACTAAAACCACTGCATTTTATTGTGTGAATTATATAATTTTTAAAATGCTAAACAAAGATTCCTACATACATCATTCTGCGTGGACTGACTAGCACTTGTTTACTCAACACACTTTATGTTCAGTTGTCTGTGGTTTCTTGTTTGGGAATTGTTAGTTAGGTGCAGACTGGGTCAAGATTGTGGTATCCCCTACACAGTTGTTGGTAATGCCCAGATTAGATTGTGACAGGGGACTGTATTATTTCTCAGTCAAAGCTCTGAGAGCATTGTAATGATACTTACCATGCTATCCTCTCTGTAGTATATCTGTTTATAATTGGGAATTAAAGAAGAGAAAAAGATTGGGTCTTTTTCATCACTCTACGTGTCTAAGTACTTTGAATAGCTCAAGTGCTGAATAAATGTTTCACTTGCAGTCGTACTTAACAGGGGACAGTCTAGCCCCCAGGGGACATTTGGCAATGCCTATAGGCCTTTTTGCCTGCCCTGACTGGAGAAGTGGGTGCTTCTGACTCCTATGGGTAGAGGCCAGGGATGCTGGTGCATGTCCTATGATGCACAGGTGCTTGGTGTTCTCCATGAAATGTCCCAGACCTTATCTTTGTGGCTTTTAACTAAAGAACCACATTGGTGGGGAGAGGCAGACCACAGGGGAAAACTGCAAGGCTGTGTCACTTCCTGACCTTGACTAAGGTATTATTAACCTGCAGAGAATTCAGTCCTTGCAGCAGAAAGCACGTGTCTGGTAAAGAGCCCAGGGAATGTTTTACATCGTATTTAACATGGAGGCAACAACCCCAGCCCCCCACAAAATACACAAGTCTTTTCTTCCAGAAGCTGGGTAGCAACCTTGGCCAAACCCTAGGTCACTAAATACCTAACTGTGAAGGGAGCTGCAGCTGTGGCCGGGCTCACTCCTTCGGGGCAGCAAGCTGCAGGCCGCAGGTCAAGGCTGGTGGCCCTCTGTTTTTACGTGACCAGTGAGCTGAGCGTGGTTTTTGCTTTTTAAGTGATTAAAGCTAAACCAAAGGAAGAATGCTATTATGTGACATGTGAAAAGTATATTAAATTCAAATTTCGGTGTCCATAAAGAAGAGTCTTCCTGAACCCAGTTATGCCCATCTGTTTGCTGTTGACTACTATTGCTCATCTGGCTGCTCTTGTGCTTAGAGACCGTCGGACCGTATTTATGGCAAAGCCTAAAATATTTACCATCTGACCCTTGATGCAAAGCATTTGCCAACTCCTGCCCTGCGGTTAAAGAGTTTAGCAGATGGTCTTCCTAGGAGGCAGTGAGGAAGGAGAACCCACCCTGGGCTGGAATCCCTGACACCTGGCTCTGCTGGGGATGTGGCTGTACCCCGTTGGGCTGGAGCCTCATCTGTGGCACGAGAGGGCTTCGCTGGAGGGTCTCTTGAGCCCTTCCAGCTCTTAACTGTCTACAGCGTGTGGAGATTCCAGTTTGTTTAGTGGGTCCCAGGTGGCCAAGGAGGTAAAAGGGTAGCATTCTTGCCTGGGACAAGGCCACAGGGCCCGGGCATCACAGCACCACACTCAGCACCGACACAGACTCAGACGCGGATCGCCACTGTCTGTACAGAACAGGTTGGAAAGTTGTCACTCTGCGGGGCTCGGAGACCAACTTCTGGCCACTCTCATGCGCCCTCGTTTTATATGATTATGTAACCCGATTCTTTTAAGCCGGGGGGAAAAAGAACCCACAAAGCTAATGACTGGGGAAGGCTAGGACCCAAAGTTCAGGCTTTCAGAATCTAATTTAGCCCTTGGGGCAGGTGTATGGAAATTCACCAGGTAATTGTCATCTCTCATTTATTGGCAGGAGCCAATAAATTTATTTTTTATTTATTAAAATAAATTATATAATTTAATAAATAATAAATTAAATAAATAAATAATATTATTTAATTTGTAATATTATTTAATAAATAATAAATAAATGAATGAATTTATTTATTAATTTATCCTGCTCATTTATTGGCAGGAGCGAGTCTCTGTTGCCCTTTCTGTGTTCTCAGTACTAACATGCAGCTCTCTATCCACAGTCCCAAGGATCGCGGACTCTCGACGTCTGCACTGCAGCCTGGGCTCTGTCGCTATGGGGCTAAGCTGGCCTGCTGCTATGGCTGGAGAAAGAACAGCAAGGGAGCCTGTGAAGGTAATTATGTAAAAACTCAGACCACCCTGTGCTCAAGTAGTAGGCCAGTGTCCTTAGTTTTTAATCTATGACACCATAAACTGTCACCGAATTATTCACCGACAGTCACCAGATCCCTTAATCTGTTAAACAGGGTAAACACGCAACTGCATGTCCCATACACGTTAGGTGTTGGTGTGGATCATGCTGGATTATAAACGGTAAAGCACAAAAATATTAGCTTTTTTTTTTTTTAAAGAATTAACAGTACTACCTTCTTTCTGTCTCTGCCTCCAACTCCTCCTCTCTACCTGGTCCAAAAATATCGATATACCACAGGTGAAGACAGAACTTGATAATATCTCGAATCTATAAAACATCAAAAGGCACCACTAACGCTCTTACATGCTCAATATCACACAAAACCTCCCACCATTAGTTTCCTTATGACAAGATGACAAGAGTGTCCAGATACTAGAAAAAAAATATTTGCAGATCATTATTGCCTACTAGATAAAGTTAGAACATTCCCCTGGGGCTTTGTCAATTAAAAAAGAGGGTGGGTCCTCACACTGATTGGATTTGTAGTGTCACGATCAAGAGCATTGTCTTGGGAAGGTCAGAATGATGTGCATAGCCCTGGGCAACGCAGGTAAGCCAGCTGAGGCTCCGCTTCCTCGCACTGTGGAGAGATTCATCCCTACTTCAGAGGGGGAGGTGTGTAAGCATTAAAGGGTAAGCTCATCAGGCAGCCCGGTGGCTCTGCAGTTGAGCATCTGCCTTTGGCTCAGGGCGTGGTCCCGGGGTCCTGGGATCAAGTCCCACGTTGGGCTCCCTGCATGGAGCCTGCTTTTCCCTCTGCCTGTGTCTCTGCCTCTCTCTCTCTCTCTCTCTCCTGTGTTTCTCATGAATAAGTAAATAAAATCTTAAAAAAAAAAAAAGGGTATGCTCGTTACCTGGCATGCATAGAAAATATCTCCTAAATCACCCTTGATTTGAAAAGACCCATAAATCCCATCCCTTAAAGTGCATGTGATGCAGAAATTAAATGTTGCTGTATTCTTTTTCTAGACATAGCACGTTGTTATTTGAAGTCACTCAGGTGGAAAGGGGCAAAACCACACGGAACGCATGATTTGGAATCCTACATTTGCATGAACCTCAGCACCTACTGCTGTAAAACTTACATGTCTCTGGTGAATAAATGAGGGCAAGCTTTGGCTTTCTGTAAGGTCTACGCTGTAACTAAATCAGAGCAATTTGGCCTTGATGCAGATGGCCAGTCACATTCTTGATGTTTTTGTGGACAATATAATACCATAGGCAGGAAATAATTTAAAGCAAGATGCTAAAAGACCAGGTGCAGGGACACCTGATGGCTCAGTAGTTGAGCATCTGCCTTGGGCCCAGGGTGTGATCCTGGGGTCCCGGGATCAGACTCCCTACAGGGAACCTGCTTCTCCCTCTGCCTGTGTCTCTGCTTCTCTCTCTGTATCTCTCATGAATAAATAGATAAAACCTAAAAAAAAATAAATAGATAAAAGAGCACATGCAGAGGCTTCGAGCACAGTGCTCTATGCACGGTTGGCAGGCTGAATTGCTCATCAGCACCCCTGCCGCCCCAGTGAGATGTTCAGGTATTAAATTGTAATGATTTTTATATCTAAAATCTATATTGTATTCTGTCCGATTTGTATGGTCCTTCTTGACGGTAAAGTCATCTGCTCCCTTAGAAGCACCGAGTAACAGGGTGATTAGCCCCTGGCTACCGGATCTCTGACTCCCAAGCCAGAGTGTGGGCTACGTGGTAATGAGTTGAGAACTTGTGTCCACCTGCCCAAACAAGCAGAGTCACACCCCGGCCTGTGAGGTCCCAGTCTGCCTGGACTTCCCTTCCATCTGTCTGTTCACCCTTCATTCCTCCAGAGGCCCTGACTCCTTGCTGGAGCTTTCTAGATCTTGGCCCCTGCCCCACCTAAATCTGCTCCCAGTGCTGGATGGCTCGGCTCTGAATCATTAACCTTCGAGTGTATGTCACTTAGCAAGAGGAGGTAAAGAGTTATCTGTGAACAAATCCCACTGAAGGGCTGCAGATGGAGGATTTGGAGGGAGAATTGAACAAGAACTTTAGCTAAAATGCACTTAAATCTCAGGCCATTTTAGACATAAACTAAATTTCCCTGTGTTGTAGGCTGGCCGTTCAAGTCACAGATCCAAAGGCTCTGTAAATTGAAAACATCTTGCTGGAGCTTTGACCTGATAGCAGCAAGGGTATTATTCACCATTTCTCTTATGTTCTATTTGGCATTGATCCTGGCTTTCCTATCTGGCCCACATTAAAAATAACTTTCCAGGGAGCAATCAAAGGTATTCAAGGCTTAAAAAAGTAAAAAATTTATTTTTCTAACATCTAAACTTAAAGCTGCATCTCTAAGAGCATATCCATAACAAAATAGACACTGGAAAGCAAAATCCTCTTTTGTCTCCAGAAGGGAAAGAATTTCGCCGAGAAACATTTTTTCCTTACCTCGTCACTTACGATTTATCCAGAGCCATAAAATGTTTTTCTGTCAGAAGTTCTACACCTATTACTTTATTTATTATTTAAAACTATTTGAGTGTCTATGTGTCTACAACACTACCAAATGCAGCAGGAGAAACAAAGATGAATGTTTATTTATTTTTAAGATTTAATTTATTTATTCATGAGAGACACAGAGAGAGAGAGAGAGAGAGAGGCAGAGACACAGGCAGGGGGAGAAGCAGGCTCCTTGCAGGGAGCCCGATGTGGGACTCAATCCCGGGTCTCCAGGATCACACCCTGGGCTGAAGGTGGCGCCTAAACCGCTGAGCACCCGGGCTGCAAGATGAATGTTTAAATCCCTGTTCTGAAGGTGCTGGGAATCTGATAGTAGACAGAAGTGAAGGATTGAAACCAAATATATGTCTAATTATTTAATAAGATGGAGCCTGATCAACTTCATGGGAGAGGCCTACCCAAGTTCTATGGAACTCTCAAAGTTGAGTGGACGTTCTGACATGGTGGGAGAAATCATTGAAGGCTTCTGGAAGGAGGGCTCATGCAAAATAGTTCTTGAAGGATCAGTAGGATGTTAACCATGGGAGAGTGGGGAAGGGGTGGCCAGAGTGAGGATAACAAGAAAGGAAGAGGCAGAGAGGGCCGATTGAGAGAACAGCAAGCAATCTAGTTTGATCATAGTGTTGCCTATGGCTAGGGAACAGAGTAGGCCAAGGGCACAAACTAAGATGGAAGCCAGGTCATGGTGCTGATACCTGTACTATATTCAAAAGGCAATAAAGACTATTTGGTGCAAGGCATGGCATGAGCAGAGCGTGCTTTTGGAATATCAGTTTAATGTCATATTTGACATCAGATTTCTTAGGAGCAGAGCCTATAAGTGGGAGTCTTGGGTCAATAATCTGTTGAGGGGTGCTCTCCAGAGAAATCTGTAAGGGAGTAAGGAAGCAGAGGAAGGAGCCAGGCAAAAATGTGGTTTCAAGAGAAGTCTAGCTTTGGCCTAATCCCACAGGGAGCTCTGGGGTGTTAATTGCATCACAGAGTTGAGTTTGTCCTGCCTGGAAAGCAGGGGCTGGGCTCTTAGACCCCGTATCAGTTAAGCACTGGGTCACAGGCTGTGGCAGGGAGAAAGGGGAGAGGAAGAGGTGCACTGTAATCTCCCAGATATCTATGGGCAGCATGATTCCCATTAGCTAGCAGAGTAGCTGTTCAGTGAATGACTTGGGTGGTAGAAGCAGGGATAGGATATTGTCACTGATTGGTTTGGGGACAAGAGAAGATAGAGATGATGGGGTTTTGAGTCCAGGTGACTGGAAGATAAATGCTGACATAACAAAGAATAGGGTGTGGGGTCGAGGGAGTAGCTGCTGGGGTCTTTGGGAATAGGCTTGCATGGAGGTAGACCTACGGTGAGCCAGGGACTCCAGGGGAAGGGAAGTAGGCAGCATTCCTGGGCCATTGTGGAGTCATCCTTTCTGGTGCTGGCTAGTTCCTGAGCTCCTACTAGATCCAGAAGCTGCTGAGGGCTCCTGACTCCCTACAGACCTCCTTTCTCCCTCATTCATTGTTCTTTTGTCCTTTGCCCTTCTTCTCTTTGGATTTTCCCTTATTCCTTTTGTCCCATCTACTGCCTTTTCTCCCTACCTCCTCCCTGTGAGCCGGACTCAGACTTCCCATCATTTTTTACTATTTTTTTCTTGCCCCCCCAACCCAGTCAAATATTCTTTGGTGTTTCTCCAACCATTTCTTTCATCAAGCAAATATTGATGGGGTGCTGAATTTGTGTCAGTTGTCTGGATACAGAAGTGAAAAAAAAACAACAAAAAACAAATTCTGCCTTTATCATGCCACCATCCTCCTCCTCCTTCTCCTCTTGATACTTCTAGTTCCCATCCTTAGGGCTGGAAGTTGCACCTCCCTGCCTTCAGTCTGTGGGTTGATCATTTTGACTGATGATACACAGCTTTAAAAATAGAATTTGATCATTTAGGAGAAAAATAGAAAAGAAAATATGGAAGGCAAAAAAAGAGGCCAGTGACGGAAGGAGCACTTGATCCAGGATTATTCTGGAGTCTCTTCCAGCTCCCACATCTACTTTTTTTATTAAATATTTTTGTTTTATATGCAAACTAGCTGATGATGGTCTGGGATGCTTTGTTTTTCTTTGAATGCCACTTGGGGGCACGGCACGGCAGTACTAAGCAAAGTTATAAACTCGCACTTTTTGGGGCGGAAGGCTGGGGGGAGTGATCTAGTTCACAAGGAAAACACTGTCCAGGGATCCCTGGGTGGCGCAGCGGTTTGGCGCCTGCCTTTGGCCCAGGGCGCGATTCTGGAGACCCCGGATCGAATCCCACGTTGGGCTCCCGGTGCATGGAGCCTGCTTCTCCCTCTGCCTGTGTCTCTGCCTCTCTCTCTCTCTCTCTCTCTCTCTCTCTCTCTCCCTCTCTGTGACTATCATAAAATAAATAAAAATTAAAAAAAAAAGATGGCTCTTTAAAAAAAAAAAAAAAAAAGGAAAACACTGTCCAGTATCCCAAAGAGGAAAACAGACTAGAGAGGAAGCAGATCATCCCTTCTCTGCCCCCATGAATTTCTCCGCCATAAGGAAGGCTGCTGAGTTGGACATGCATGCATTTTCTGTGCTGACTACTCCTGTTCTTTTATCAACAAAACACCTTTCCTTTCCACAGCTACCTGCGAACCTGGATGCAAGTTCGGGGAGTGTGTGGGACCAAACAAATGTAGATGCTTTCCAGGATACACTGGGAAAACCTGTGGTCAAGGTCAGTACTACAGGCCAGCATCCTAGTACGGACAGACGGACGGACAGACCCCCGAGCTTTCCGAAGCCAGGCGATCATTGCGGCAGGGTTTTTGATACACTACAGTGCCCGAGATGTTGTCGATTTTAAGTTGAATCTTCAAATGAAAGTGGTTTCAGAATTAGATTTTTCCATCAATCTCTTCAAGAAAAATATAAAAGTCATTCAGATGTTTTCATTAAGGTGCCAGATAAAAGGCCTTTTTTTCCTCCTCTAAAATAACTTTTTTTCCCTAAAATATTGTCATTGTGTTTTTATGCTACCAAAGTAATGCATATTTTTTACTGGAAAAAAAAACCCCAATGACATAAAAGGATTTAAATTAGAAATGGGAGTGTCCCCCTGGCCCCCAGTCCATGCTCAAACCAGCATGAACAGTTTGTCCCTGACCCCTGAAGTCAGGACAGTGCTTCTCTGCGTTGTTCCAGTTTTCCAGCGTGCACTGCCCAGGCGAGCACCTCGTGGTCTTTTTTCTGTGACGCTACAGACAGAAATGCTTCTCCTGGGCAGTTTTGCATGTCAGCACATACAGAGCTGGCTTATGCTTTTTAAGGCTGTATCCTTGGCCCTGATGCAAATGATGAAATATCATTTGTGTAAAAAATACTTTGTTGAACCATTCTCATCTGCCGGTCTCCAGTGTCTCACCATTATAGACAGTGCTAAGTCAGACATCATTCTACACATATCCCTGAACCCTTGAGTATTTTTATTTTTATAGGCTAAATGTCTAAAAATTGAATTTTGGGGTTGAATGACATGCATATTTTATGATAATTGACATATTTTAAAAGATACTTTATGACTTGTCATGAGCTGTTTATCTGAAGATCTTAAAGAGGGTATTTATACTATTGACAACAGTGGTTCTCAGCTTGGGCAGTTTTACTCCCCATTTACTTGCCAGAGAAAATACAGATCTCAAGTTAGATTTAAATTGCTGATAAACAACAGATAATTTAATAGGGTACATAGGTTTTAAATATTGCATAAGACATATGTCTCCTAAAAAAGTATTAGTCAATTATCTAAAATTCAAATTTAACTGGGCATTTTTATTTGCTCAATCTGGGAACCTTACCCCAGGGGATGTCTGGCTGTGTCTGAAGACGTTTGGGGGCTGCTACTGGCATCTAGTGGGTAGAGCCCAGAGATGCTGCTGAGCCTCTTACGGTGCACAGGGCAGCCCCATAACAGAATGATCTGACCCAAATGTTAGCAGTGCTAAGGCCAAGAGACCCTGGCTTGAAGAAACCTGCCATAATTAAGAAAGTGTCCCCAGTCCTATAATGCAGTTGAGCAAAGGGCAGCACATCAAGTTCAGCTGTCCTTAGGGCTGCCAGGGTTCCGGAGGGACAGATGGAGTCCCAGAAACGGGCAGGCAGTCCCTCCACTCTGCCCACCACCCCCCGGGGCCTTGCTGCCAAGCCCAGAGGTTAGCTACCTAAACTGAAATAGCTGCCAGCCCTGCAGCCTCAGAGGGGAACTTGTGAATCTCTGATGTCCCAACACCAGCACAGAGGCCAGCGCCCTAAGGTGCTTCTTAGAAGCACATCCACCTGCTTGAGAGAAGTGCACCAAGAATCGTGCTCTCTTAAGTAATAATCCAGCTGTATCCCTTACCCAGCAGGGTTCACACCAGAAAAACTGCTTCTCCATATTGTCTTGGATTCTGTACCAAGATGCCTTCTGCAGCGGTTTGGAATAGAGAAGATATTTTTCGTGTTGGCTTTCAATTCCCAGTAAAATATTAGTGTTGAGGGAGCAGTCTAGTTGGCTCCGGTTCTGGACTGTCTCCTCCCACAGCTTTCCTGGCCCTCTGGTGGCCTGATCAAAGTCCATGTAGATCTATTAATGGTGACAGGCCTCACCCCTCCACTGTGCTGTCTTTCCCCCAAATGCTTCTTCCAAGCGACAAGTGGATCACCTCTGATTTAGGGCCAAGTGATGGGGTATTTATGGGTTTCCCATTAATGTCCAATCAACTTTTTCCAGTTCCTCTTTTTGAACAAGTTAGAATCCATGCAGGACAAGGTAGAGTAGAGGGGATAAGCAATGGAGAAGGGCTTTCAAATATCCCACTAAGATGTCAAAAAATTCCTGTATAAGGTTCTTGTCAGAGGCGAAAGCAGCCACTTCTTTATTTTCAAGAAAGACATGCTTTGCCTGTCACCCTGCTGAATTTTGGGCTTGTGTAGAATTTGGTTCTTTGCTCCTTTCTGTATCTTCCTTGAAGGAGTTAAGCCAAGAGGCATCCACATGACCACATTTCCAAAGATAAGCTCCTCTACCCATGATCGCTTTTGAAGTTTTATTTTCCTTCTATATCATTTTTTCTTTTAATAAAAAAGTAACTCTTTTTTTTTTTTTTGAGAGAGAGAGAGAGAGGAGGGGCAGAAGGAGAGGGAGATATTCTCAAGCAGACTCCCCACTAAACGCAGAGCTCATTGCAGGGCTTGATCCCAGGACCTTGGGACCACCACCTGAGCCAAAATTAGGAGTCAGATGCTTAACCTGTGACCATCCAGGCACCCCAAAAAGGCATTCATTCTTAGTATTTAAATTCGTTTTAGAAAAAAATAAAAATAAAAAATAAATTCATTTTAGGAAATACTGTAAAGCTCAGAGAAGAAAGTCACCCTCAATCTTACCACCTGGAAACAACCATTATTGGCATTTAGAGCAGAGCCTCCCAGGCTTCCATGTCCTGCAGCCTCACCATCCATAGCTGCCTGCCAGGGCCCCCTCTGTAAGGGTGTGAGCCAACACAAGTTCGCCCAGAACAGTAACCGCTGAATGGAGGTGTTGCCGTGGGCGCCTGTCCTGGGCTGCCCAGGACAGTACTAAAGGCTAACGTGTCTACATTGTATTGCTAGCTTTTATTCAAGTCTTACACGCAGAATTGTGCATATATCAACAGCGTACTGCCCAGTGAATTTTCAAATACATCCATGTAAGCAACGTGGAAGAAACGTAATAGCCTTCCTGAAGACCCCTCCCTCTCCCCTGCAGCGGTTTGCCCCCCACCCCCAATAAGGAACTCTATCTTGACCTTTTACATCACAGATTAGTTGGGCCTGACTTTTTTTTTAAAGATTTTATTTATTTATTTATTTGAGTGAGCACAAGTAGAGGGGAAGGAGCAGAAGGAGAGGGAGGAACAGGTTCCCCGCTGAGCAGGGAACCCAACACAGGACTCGATCTCAGGACCCTGAGATCATAACCTGAGCCGACAGCAGACAGTTAACCGACCAAGCCCCCCAGGCACCCCTGTGTCTGACCTTTTTCTAAAGATTTTATTTTTAAGTCCTCTGTATACCCAGCGTGGGGCTCAGACTCACAACCCTGAGACCAAGAGCTGCATGCTCCACTGACTGAGCCAGCCAGACATCCCTTGCCTGACTTTTTTAAAGATTTTATTTATTTATTCATGAGAGACACAGAGAGAGAGAGGCAGAGACACAGGCAGAGGGAGAAGCAGGCTCCATGCAGGGAGCCTGACGTGGGACTCGATCCCGGGTCTCCAGGATCACGCCCTGGGCCAAAGGTGGCGGTAAACTGCTGGGCCACCCGGGCTGCCCCCTTGCCTGATTTTTAATGTACTCTTTCATCTCCAGCTTATTCTACTCACTCTCCCAGTCTTAAGCTTCATCCGTTGTTGCTTGGAGCTAGAGTTTGTCCAGCCTCGTTGCTATATCGTATTCCTTTGCGCGAGTATACAAGTCCTCTATCCCGCCTCCTGTCCGGAGGTGTTTGGCTTCTCTCCAGCGTGGGGCTATTAAGAACAGTGCTACAGTGATCATTTTAGTCCATGTTTTTTTGGTGGGGGCATATCCATGCCGCTGTTGGGGATCGACCCGGGAGCGGAATTGCTAGGCCATGGGTGAATGTGTCTCTAGCTAGAGCAGGTTCTACAAACAGTTTTCCAAAGTGGCTGTGGCCGTTTGCCTCCCCTGACAGTGCACCGTCCTTCGGTTTGCTCCACAGCTTCACTAGACCTTCAGAGTGGTGCTTTTACTGGCGATTGGAGAGGAGGCGAGTCATTGCCCCCATGTAACCACCCCCCACCAGCAGGGGAGGCCAACATAACTCTACATCTTGATATTATCTGATCTGGTTAGCCTTTCTTCTTTTCTGCCTCTCCCCTGCAGATGTGAACGAGTGTGGCATAAAGCCCCGGCCGTGCCAGCACAGATGTGTGAATACGCATGGGAGCTATAAGTGCTTTTGCCTCAGCGGCCACATGCTCATGCCGGATGCCACATGTGCAAGTGAGTTTCAACAGCCAGGCAGCTCATGGTCATCCTTGGAGACTTGATTGTCATACGAACAATCTTTTTTTAAAAAGGAACATCATGGTAAAATACATATAACATGAAATTCACCATTTTAAACTGTACAATTCAGTGGTGTTTAGTACACTTACAGTGTTGTACGAATATCACCACATCTAATTCTAGAACATCCTCATCACCCCAAAAGAAAACCCTGTGCCCGTTAGCAATCACTCCCCATGCTTCCTCCCCAGCACCACCACCCCCACCCCCACCCTGAAACCACTAATCTACTATCTGTTTTGGATTTGCCTGTCCTGGACACCTGCTTTTTAAAGAAAGGCTAATTGGGGAGAAAAATAAATGCTGTACATCTCTCTGTATACAGGGTTGTATGGGGTTTCCTCATGAAAATAAGCATATTGTTTTAGGAAGGTGATACATTTAATTTCCATCTCGGGACATCAGTTCTTCCCACCAACTGCCTTTCTCACGCCCCTTGCCCCATTCTCAAAGATCAGTGACTCCTGTTGGAAATACATTCCGATTCACATTCCTGAAAAGAAAAGCCCTTCTGTGATAAAGAGAAACCCATGTCCTGTGGGAGGTAAGAGTATATCCATTCATTTATCCAGAGGGAAGGCTTTTCAGGTTTACTGTTGCAGCTGAAAGACAAACCCATCCTCCCTGCCTGGCTCCCTTCCTCCCCTCCTCCCTTCCTCCCTTCTTTCCTCCCCCCTTCCATCTGTCTTTCCTCTGTAATACACCCCCCAACAAACCTGGACCTTACGGCCTCTGCTAGCTTCCTCTGGTTAGAGTTATGGACTCCCTAGGCCATCTGGGGCTTTGCTGCAGTTAGACAGTCTTGGCTGGTGCCCAGCTCGCTGCTCCCTGGGTTTGTCTTATGCTTTCCATCATTCGCAAAAGGCCCCGACACCACCAGTCACCTAGATCCTCTGTTGGCAGGAGGCTTAAGAGATAAAGCAGACATTCAAAGTCTTTTTAAAAAATTCTTATTCTTATAAATTAAACAGAAACCTACAGGAGACAAATACACATATAATAGATATTATATATAACGTAATACACAGTTGAACAAACTCTTATAAGGTGAGCACCCATGTAACCACTACCAAGAGAACTTTGCCAGAACCTCCCTCACTACCCCATCATGGGAACCACTATCTAGGTTTTTACAGTCATCACTTAACATTTTTAAAAAGATCTATGCTAGTAGACATTTTGAAACATTCCATGAAAGGCTAATCAGTGCCCCAAAAAAGGTATGTGATCCCAAATGGAAGGATAGAATTAGGTAAATTTTAAAAGAAGACAAAGAGAAAAGAGAATAAACGAGAAATGTTACCATTGGTAGGTGTTTGGTACCTTACGTTGACCTGTGTATCTCTCCTTATTCCCTCTTTGCCTATAGCTGTATGTGGAAGGGTTGCCCAGGCCTCCCTGTTTATAGCTCCAAGTGTCCCGGGAGCCCTGGATATCCCTCCTGATTTTAATACACCTGGTCCCTGGCAGTCTCTTCTGCCCACTGGGTGATGGACATGTTATGGATGGCGCTGGATAAAGGAAGTGTACTCACTGCACTTGCCTGTTGGAGATACTTATGATCCATATATAGTAGACTTCTGCTAAGGAAGTGCATTTTTGTGGGAAAAGTTGTGTTTGGCAACAAGTGACAGAAAAATCCACCTAAATTATCTCATTTATGAAAAAAGCTGGAGGCAGGCTGTTCCCGCCTGCACGGCTGAGCAAGGACTCACTGCCTGCCATCCTCAGGGTACTGATTTTATTCTCATGTTTGTTGCCTCATTGTCACAAGATGGCTGCCCCAGCGCCAGATTATCACACATACATTTAAGGGAGGCCTGACAAAGGGGAAAGGAACAATGCCAAGGAATGAATGAATGACCCTTTCATGCTTCTCCCTTTCATCACGCAGCAGCATCTTTTCCAGAAGCCCCACTCCCTCCAGCAGACTTATTTTTATATCTCTTTGGCCACAGCTGGGTCCTGTGGCCACCCTTTGTTGCTGCAAGGGAAGCTGGGATGAAGACTAATAATTGGCATTCTAGCTTCAATGATGGTTGTGACGAGGGGACAAGGGGTCCTGGATGGCTTTTGGGCAGGCCGTCGGTCATACTTGCCACATGTTTTAATACAGGCATGTAAACGACCAGGTCTCATGGCTTGAGTGACTGTCATTGAGGCTAGGTATGTATGGAGAGATATGTAGGATGGATTTTTCTGACCCTAATTACTCAGATTGATCATCTCCATCAGAGGTTGCATTTCCCCCGAGAGAGGCCACCCAGGTAACATCAAGGCGTGATGAGAGAATATATGAGAGAAAGATGAGTCTTTGATAGCCGAGGGGTGCAGGCCCTGCTTAAAGACAGGCAAGTTTAATACACCGGCCAACAAAACAGACTGTGGGGCTCCCAAGACACCACCCTTGCCCGGGTTCCATGTGGGTCTTAGGCAATGACGCTTATCCAATACATCCCACGCCCGAATGTCCTAGAATGCAGAGATCATTTGTCAGTGAGTGCTTTTGTACCAGCTCGGGAGGAAAAGGCTAATGCTTGCCTACATTTTCAGACTCCAGGACGTGTGCCATGACAAACTGCCAGTACAGCTGCGAAGACACGGAGGAAGGGCCGCGCTGTCTCTGTCCATCCTCGGGCCTCCGCCTGGCTCCAAATGGAAGAGTTTGCATAGGTAAGGCAGCGGGACTCACCTCTCCTCCTCCTTCCCCCTCCACTGAATTCCTTCTTTGCCATTCAGCACAATCTGCTTGTTAGCTACACTGAAAGTTCCTGAAAGTTCCGATTTAGGCCCATTTTTGAGACGAGTAGCAACATCGACTCTAGACACACTTTGGGATGCCGGAAAGAATACTTCTCTGTCCCTTTGGGATTGACTAGTGCCATAGCGGAAAAGGGGTTTTATTTTATTTTAGTATATTTACCCTGCATGTTTTACTTCAGTTACCACAGAAACCTGCTACTTACTGTCATCTGTCATTCAGCGAATAAAGTCCCAAGGGCCATTGGGCTCATTTTGGGTTCTAGCTAATATCTTCCTACAAAAATGCATTCACTTATTATTTTTTTTAGATCTAAGACTATAGAGAATATCTATATCCTTTCTACATTGTTTATGTTAGCAAGTAACTAATTTCCCATTGTCTTTAAAGGTTGCTCTAAGAGATAAGAACTAAGTATTCTAAAACCATTTCTGCTTGGAGGGATGAGCAGATTAAATCCATGATATTAAAGGAGGAGACAGAGCCATCCTTTATAACTTTGAATTTAGTTAAATCAGTGGATTAGAATTTGGTCTCTTGCTCTCCCCTGTCTTATTTTGGGTCTTAGTTTTGGGTCCCACAGAAGTGATCCTGAGCAAGTAGTTGATTTGGGAGGTGATCCCAGAGAATGCTGGTTGAGGAGGAGGTGAGGGAAGGCTCCACCAGGGAGTGAATTCAAGGAGCAGGTTGAGCATCTATGCCCCTCTAGGAGACAGGGTGGGGGGGTGGGAGGGGGATGGTGTGGGAGGGGGATGGGGGGTAGCTACCACCAGGTTTCCTCCTAGGTCAAGGGCACTGGGGATTTATGCACCAACTCCTGTTTATTGTGGGGAAGGGGGGGTATGTGGGAGTGTTGGGGGGGGCAGGGGCCTCAATCCTCAGTGACTAAGGCAACACTTTCTGCCTTAGTTCCCTTGTGGATTTGCATTCTGTTCAGGAACCAAACTGTATATACTCGTAGCTCTGTGCTTATATGCAAGTGAGCCAATAGCATCAGTAAAGGATAGCAAATCAAATCAGAATGTTGGAAGAGTCCTTACTCTTTTTTGCTTAAATAAGCAAATATCACTGCAATTTCATATTCTTATTTATTCATTGCAATAGAAATATTTCTCAAAAAAAAGAAATATCTCTCAGTCAAGGTGCTGGACATTTATTTATCCCAAATGAATTGTGTATCTGTTTCATACCTTGATAAGCTGCATTTAGAAAGTTCAGCCAGATAGGTCCTAAATCAGTTAAATACTTTAAAAAATCCCTGAAAAATTAAAATTTTGGCCCTGCTCTCTGGGAGTAATCAGATTTCATTAGATTCACAGGGTTTAGTGTTCTTCGGTGAAATAAGATTTCTATGACAAGGCTCATGCTTGACCAAACTGAATCCAGTTTTTATCTGCACGAAAGTGGTCACTGCAGAATTATTTTGGTCAATCCAGCACGTATTTAGGATTTTAAGAATGCGAAGAGAACAGTAAGCCAGCACCAACTTGCTGTTTAACCACAGGTCCAAATTAACAACATACAACATCTATTCGATTTGTCATCTTAAAGTGAAAGCAAAGTCTGAGTCTGGATATTTTGGCCAGCATCGCTGCCAGCCCCCTGGTAACCTGACTCTCAAGGAAAGCAAGGAAGCCTATTGTCTGCTAAGTTACATCATGGCATCATTACACTTGACCCACCCTTTATGTTTAAGTGCCGATGTAGGAAACTGCCTCTCCGGTACTTGGGTCAGTATTGTAGGAGCCTTGGGGAGCTTGCTAATAATTCTTCCGTAGAAGACAGTATTTAAGGTGTGTATCCGTTTGCTTAACATGTAGTTCAAAAATTGTACACACTATACAATATTCATAGCTGGAAAAATATTACTTCCATCAACAAGCATGTAATGTCTCCGTACCAAGTGCCAGACATATGCTCCCAGCCCCAAAAGAGCCACCAGGGCCTACCAGATGTGAATGTGAGTAGTGACAGTACAGTGAGACAATGTCTCTAAAACGAGATGTACAACGCCATGGAAACACATAAAAGGAGGAGCTGTGAGTGTGCTGAGGGCATCTAGAATGCTTTCCAGAGGGTACACGTTGGCAAGTAGAATAATCAGAATTTTCTACCAAAGAAACTGCGTGTGTGTGTGTGCGCATGCGCGCGCATGTGTTTTGGGGGGAGAACACTTTTCTTGCTATCACTGACACATTCTGCTTCTACATCCTAGATGTTGATGAATGTGCCTCCAGTAAAGCCGTCTGCCCTTATAATCGGAGATGTGTGAACACGTTCGGAAGCTACTACTGCAAATGTCATGTTGGTTTTGAACTGAAATATGTCAGGGGCCGATACGACTGTGTAGGTGAGTCGGTGACACCCTCTCCTTTTTCCCTCTCCCCACCAAACCTGTAGGCTTTGTCTACAGCTATCTTGAGGTCAATTCAGTCTAGTAGTTGAACGGTCTACTCTACTCACCAGTTTAACAATACGAGAAAAGTCACTTTTTTGTTTCTGGCTTTTAAAAAAATTGTTTTAAATATTTTATTTATTTATTCATGAGAGACACACAGAGAGGCAGAGACACAGGCAGAGGGAGAAGCAGGCTCCCTGCAGGGAGCCCGATGTGGATGACAGGATCACGTCTGGAGCTGAAGGCAGATGCTCAACCACTGAGCCACCCAGGCATCCCATGTTTCTGGCTTTTAGGGAACTCTGGTGAGATGTATTAGATGACACCAGACCAGTAAAGGTCTAAAGTAAGGAACTGCAGTGGATATAGTTTTGTTATTTGGGCAGGTATCTTGAGATGATTTTTGTGGGTTTTTAAAAAAAAGTTGGTTGGTTTTATTTTTTGATTCTCCAGATATGTAGCTAAAAATGGGAAAAATACACAAAAGGAGGGGGGGAAAAAGGCCTATTTGATCTTGATCTCAATGATCTGTTCATAGCCATTTCTTTTAGGAGAGGCTTTATTTTTTTTTTTAATTTATTTATTTATGATAGAGAGAGAGAGAGAGAGAGGCAGAGACACAGGCAGAGGGAGAAGCAGGCTCCATGCACCTGGAGCCCGACGTGGGATTCGATCCCGGGTCTCTAGGATCGCGCCCTGGGCCAAAGGCAGGCGCCAAACCGCTGCGCCACCCAGGGATCCCTAGGAGAGGCTTTAGAAAAATGTGTGAGGGAGATGAAGGCACATGCCCCTTCCTCTTTTGGCCCTTTCATGGTTCCAGCTCCAAATCCCCTAAAATGTTCCCTTTCTGGGTCCCTGAAGCCACTCTCTGAGTCTGGTCTGTCGGCTATTGGCCTGACCTGTGTGAAATAAAATCTTTTGGCCCTTAGTGAAGGGATTCCAAGCCTGAACGAGCAAATGAAGTGGCGTGTTTGGGAGCCCTTGGATGCATTCACTCTGCTCTTGGTAGAACGTGGGATGGGGCTTGCACTACGGTGAAGGGAGATCCAGGCTCCCTGTTATTCATGTTACACTTAGAGCAAATGTTTATACAACGAGGAAAGCTAATGGGTTGGGGCCAAGTAGGATTTCTCTCACGTTCCATCCAGAGCATCCCAGGACGTGTCCTGTGTAACTGCATTGTGGCAACAGTTGGTTCCAGCATCTTGGACCATCTTGTGAACCCTCTGTAGCTCTTCACTCAGATCTTTTTAAACACAAAGGCCAACCTAAGCAGGCTTGTAAAAATCCATGTTTCTTGTGGGCTTGGACCCATCCAGCTCGTAATCCACTGATGCTGTGTCACAGAGAAGAAGCCTGTTTCCTGATCCCTAGGAAGTTCCACTGGGCAGGGTGGGAATGCACAGGGTGAGCTTCTAAGAGAAACACATCTTGTGATTCTAAGTGAATCAGATTAGCATCTGAGCTCCTTTGGTGGCTAAATTAAAAACAATGGGCTCTTTTGTCTGCATGTGTCCCCCAAAGCATAGAGAGCAGGTGAGATGGAAAGGAGGGCTAATGAACTTCTCACTTGGGTAGGATTCGGCAAACTTTCCTGGTCTCCATCCAGCAGACCAGCTCAGACCAGCCTGACCCCGCTCCTGGCAGCCTTTGAACAAAATGCCTATGAATTCAGATGATGTCAACGGGTCATAGCCCACCTTATCCTCTGCTGGTTAGGAGTGTTAAGTCCTTCCACGTGTAGAATTTATTTTCTGATATTGTTATTTAATTTTGGATTAGACGGATGAAAAAGTAAAGAAAAAAACTGAAACGTCTTACAGATGTCAGTAGTATTGATAAGCAGTCAAGACTGCCGTGGGGTGGTGAGCTGCATGCAGGGAGCTCCCCCGCTCCCGTGTCCTGGTGTCAAAGACCGGGCTCGGAGCCAAGGCGTCGGGCTTGGAACACCTCTCAGTTCTCAGGCCCCACTCGGATTGTTGGCAGTGTTGAGTGGTTGGTCTGGGAGTTGCTCAAGCGTAAGGGATAGTCTTTTTGTTCACGGGAAACCTTCATGTTTTCAGATATAAATGAATGTGCCGTGAATACCCACACATGCAGCCTCCACGCCAATTGCCTCAATACCCCAGGATCCTTCAAGTGTAAATGCAAGCAGGGATACAAAGGCAGTGGACTTCAGTGTTCTGGTAAGTAGCATTTGCTCACGGGGTCATAGTAGAACATTCTCGCATATCTTTTTTTTTTAATTTTTATTTATTTATGATAGTCACAGAGAGAGAGAGAGAGGCAGAGACACAGGCAGAGGGAGAAGCAGGCTCCATGCACCGGGAGCCCGACGTGGGATTCGATCCCGGGTCTCCAGAATCGCGCCCTGGGCCAAAGGCAGGCGCCAAACCGCTGCGCCACCCAGGGAATCCCCATTCTCGCATATCTATTTCCTTCTTCCTTTCACTTCTCTGTCTCTGTCTCTCTCTGTGTCTTTTTGTGTGTGCATGTATGATAGTGTGTGTGTGCAATCTTTGAAAATTTTAACTCTGTCTCAGTCCTGTCTTCTCTGCTAATCGGTCCACATCTTCATTAACTCACTGAAGTCTTAGGCACTAAAGCTTCAACACTGGCAAAGGTTCTGGATATTTATCTGGTCACAACTTACTTTCAAATACCGAAAATAAGATTTAAGGACAAATGGCACTGTGTGAATGCTATCTGTCAGGATAGGGTAGGTTACTGTGCAGTAACAAACAATCCTAAAGTGGCAGTGGCTTAGGACCACAAACTCTTCAACCACACAAATCAGAACTCCTTCCAGAATACACAACCAAAAGAATATGGTGAAGCTGATGTCACTTTATCTGTCATCACCAAACCTAGTTTGACAATATTTTTAAAAGATTTTATTTATTTATTCATGAGAGACACAGAGAGAGAGAGAGGCAGAGACACAGGCAGAGACACAGGCAGAGGGAGAAGCAGGCTCCATGCAGGGAGCCTGACGTGGGGCTCAATCCCGGGACCCCAGGATCACACCCTGGGCCGAAGGCAGGCGCTAAACCACTGAGCCACCCAGGGATCCCCTAGATCGACAATTTTTTAAAGATTTTATTTATTTATTTGAGAGAGAGAGAGAACATGAGCAGGGGGAGGGGCAGAGGAAGAGGAAAAAGCAGACTCCTCACTGAGCAGGGAACCTGCCATGGGGCTTGATCCCAGCACCCTGGGGTCATAGCCTGAACTGAAGGCAGACGCTTTACCAACTGAGCTACCCAGGTGCCCCGGATTCACATTTTTAGCAAAGATTCTCATTGTTCTTGTTGGTGAATTCTTTAATGTTTAGGTGGTTAAAAAAGTTTAAATTGATAAACCAAATACTTAACCAGAAAATGCCCCTGCTGTGGAGCTATGACAGCAACAGTAGCTTATTTCTCATTCGTACTATGTCTAAAGAGAGTCATCAGGTGTTTCTTCTCATTGCGGTCACTGAGGGAGCCACGTGGCAGAAGCTCCATCATCTTATGATACCCCAATATCAGTCTGAGGCCTTAGGGTTTGTCACAGCAGGGAAAGAAGCATGGACAACCACACAGCAGCTCTCAGTTCATTTAGCTTGAAAGTAGGGGCAAAAAATACGTCGTCCTGCTGCACGTACGAAAAGAGCTAGAAATCCTGATGAGTATTGGAATGTCTACCGAGGCGAGTCAACAGTGATTTCAGTACATTCACTCTCCAATGTTCAAAGTCATGCAGGTTTATCCTTCTGCTCTTGAGCCTTTTAGCCCTGGCTCATCGTGTGCCTAGATTTGTTTGCTGCCCCAACTCCACTCTCCTGTATACCCCTTAGCAGAGCTCCCACATCCTCCCACGCCTGTGGCTGCAGGTAGTGCCTTTACCTGTCCCAAGCCCTCGTGTGGCCAGTACTCCTGATGACACAGCACAGCGACCCCCCTGACGGCAAAAAGAAAGTGTCCACCCCGTGAGAGACACTGAGCAGCACAGCCATAAAGGTCACGGTATCCCAGTGGGCTGTGCTTGAGTGCCGCTGGACGAGAGTGTGTACAAAAGGAAGAGGAGTCTGGAAGTCAAACTCTCTGAAGAGGTGCCAAAAGTACTGGGCAGCGTTTCATCTGGAAGAAACTGTGGAAGAGTATAAATGACGCCTGTAGATCTTTTAAGGAATGGGAAAGAAAAGTGACTTCCCAAAGCAGACTCGGAGCAGTGGGTGGAGGCTCCATCCCCTCACAAATGCCGGCCAGGTGGACGAGAGTGGGGTCGGGAGCCCTGCCAGGGGCACATTCCACCACGCGCGGCCCTCGGCGAGACCCCTGCGTTGGGCTGAACGTGGGATTACAGAGCCACTCAGTCTCCGGCAACTCTGTGCTGTGGTTTCTATCCCCCTGAGCCCTGTGCTCCTTCTAGAACTTTATTCAAAGACTGAGAAAGAGGGATCCCTGGGTGGCGCAGCGGTTTGGCGCCTGCCTTTGGCCCAGGGCGCGATCCTGGAGACCCGGGATCGAATCCCACGTCGGGCTCCCGGTGCATGGGGCCTGCTTCTCCCTCTGCCTGTGTCTCTGCCTCTCTCTCTCTCTCTCTCTCTCTCTCTCTCTCTCTCTCTCTCTGTGACTGTCATAAATAAATAAAAATAAAAAAAAAAGCAAAGACCAAGAAAGAGAGATTGGCTGCCTGCGCAGGGCTGTGCATGCATGGATCGGAAGGGGGGATGCCATAACCTGGAGAGGCCCCTGCAGAGAAAACTGAGTGAATCAGCTTTCTGTATTGGATGATGGTCAAGGGCTCCTTCTCACCACCGGATTCAGCTCAGCTGTTGCTCATTACCCCAAATGGCCCGAGACAAGTGAGGCTGGGATATACACGTTCAGATTTGGTAGCAGAAAGGAGCCCCTTGACCATCAGATTCAGTCTGAGCTCTGCCCCTTACTGCCTGTGACCTATAATTAGGTTTTTTTAAACTTCTAAGCTCCATTTTCGGGGCGCCTGGGTGGCTCAGTGGTTGAGCATCTGCCTTCGGCTCAGGTTGTGACCCTGGGGTCCTGGGATCGAGTCCCACACCGGGCTCCCCACAGGGAGCCTGCTTCTCCCTCCGCCTGTGTCTCTGTTCCTCTCTCTGAGTTGCTTATGAATAACTAAATAAAATCTTTAAAAATAAATAAATAAACTCCGTTGTCTCCTGTGCAGCTTGTGATGAGCCAGGCCCCAGTCCCCGGGCACCCCCTAATTTCAGCAAGGCAGGCTAAACAGTTCCCTGCAGATCCTTATCTCCAGTGAGGTGGGCTCCCTGCAGGTGGCTGTGCACTTTCTCTAGAATGCTGCTCAGCCCCTTTGAAAAGACAGCCCTCAACCGCTGGATGGTGGGTGCCAGGAGTCTGGTTAAGGACCACAAATGGTCGCAGGATGGGATAGTTTCAAGGTGTGTTCTGCATTGGTTCCCAGATGTCCCCAACAGGATGGAGCCCGTTACCCACAGTCATTACCTGCCCATTGAGGCACCATCTTTAGCTTTTCTCCCTTCTTGTCTTGCTCTCCTCCTTCCACCACCCCCGCCTCCTGGGATCACCTCCCAGATAAACCCTCTGTACCCAAATCCTTGTTTCAGATTTCTGCTTGGGGGAACCCTCATTAAAACAGGTACCTCTCAAGTACATTGTAAGGTTTGAATGGAGGTAATAGAGGTAGAGAGCTTAGTTCAACTGAGCACATAGTAGATGCTCAATAAAGTTACAATAAAGTTACTTATAGTTATTAATCGTGCCATTTCAAAAACTGTTTCTTAAAGGCCAGCTACTCTTTAATCCGAAATTCTGTAAAGGGAGATGCACAAATGCTATTGCATGTAAAAGAGATGCCTCAGGAAAACACTTGTTTCAACAAGTGGGCAGCTCACCTCCACATACCCATCCCTGGCCTCAGGCCTAAGAATCAAAGTAAAAACTGCCCAGAATAAACCTGGAGTCACTTTCCTTCCTGATCATTTAACGCCCTCGAAACCCCAATGTGTCATTTTTTAAAAAGATTTTACTTATTTATTTTAGGAAGAGAACGTGTGAGTGGGTGGAGGGGCAGAGGGAGAAAGAATCGCAAGCAGACTCCTTGCTGAGCATGGAGCCCAATGTGGGGCTCAGTCTCACGATCCCAAGATCATGACCTGAGCCAAGATCAAGAGTCAGACGCTTAACCAACTGAGCCACCCAGGGACCCTCATAGTGTGTTATTAATGTCCGAATGAAGGCAGCACCCCTAAGCATGCAGCAGAATAGCTGTTTGCAGCTCACAGTTTCTGTATTGTCCTCCAGCATTTTTAAATTTTAAATCCCACATCAACACAAACACTTCTTATGTCAAGAGGACTTCTGTTTTAGTCTGACCATCCAGCTTTAGGCATATTCTTGGGTAAAACAAATTTTTCTTTATTCTCTGAGACCTCAAACTCATCACAATGTTCTGTTTGATACCCTGAAACCATTTTGTTTCTGTCCATTCTGCAACTGAATTTTTTCTTTCATCTTTCACCAGTGTTTATTTAAAAGAGAAAATGATCTTTGGGTCATTCACTGTAGTACTTGCCCAGCCCTTTCCGGTCTGCTTTGATTCTCTGTAAAATAAATAGCCATGTCTCTGTTGAAAATTGATCCTAACAGACTCCTAACCACACTGCTTAAAGGATGGCCCAAAATTCACTCTTCTGTGCATAGGAAAGTCATACAAAAAAAACTGAGAGACTTGCATCTAATTACCATACAGCATCATAAAATGTTATGTTGTAAAATACATTTGTATGCACATAAATTGTTATAATTTATAATATACGGCATTGATATACCAACTTTTGAGTTCGTTTTTTTTTTTCAAAGATTTTATTTATTTATTCATGAGAGACACACAGAGAGAGAGAGAGAGAGGCAGAGACACAGGCAGAAGGAGAAGCAGGCTCCATGCAGGGAGCCCGATGTGGGATTCGATCCTGGAACTCCAAGATCACACCCTGGGCCAAAGGCAGGCACTAAACCACTGAGCCACCCAGGGATCCCCCGAGTTCATTGTTTTTGCAAAAGTCCAGACTCTGTGTTACAATACAGAGGAGGAGTTAGGGCCTGGGTGGCTCAGTCAGGTAAGCAACCAACTCTTGATTTCGGCTCAGGTCATTGATCTCAGGGTGGTTAGATGGAGCCCCACACTGGGCTCTGCGCTAGGCATTGAGCTTGCTTAAGATTTTTTCTCTCCCTCTCATCCTCCCTCAAACAAGAAAAAAAAAGAGGAGTTAGTAAGATTGTCCTTATGCACATATGTACCCAGGGGAAGGAGTTCCCTAAATGTAGACATGTATGGATTTTTCCTGGTCTAATATATGTGAGTGTTAACCATACACTGTTAGATAATTTGGTCTTAATTTGACAGTAGCTCTACTTATTCTAAGCAAATCAAAACTTTGATAATTATCTGACTTGAGTAGTAGGTCAATTTAGGAAAGGAAACTGTCATTTTTTTACTAGCATGGCTTCTAGAATCCCATTACCTTGGCTTAACTCTTGGCTCCCTGGCATACTATCTGTGGGCTGTAAACAATTTAACCTTTAGTGCTTTGGTTCCCACATCTGCAAAATAAATATAATAGTATCTGGCCCTTAATATTCTTTTGATGGTTACATGAAATAGTCCATACAAAATAAATAAATGTTCATATAAAGGGCTTAGTTCCAGCCCAGAATATATTAAATGCTCAAAAATTGTGCGCTAGTAGTAAGAGTAACAGTGGTAATGGCTTCTTTACCAGAATTCAACAGTTGTTCCCATTGAAAAAAAAAAAGGGTGGGGGGCAGCCCCGGTGGCCCAGCGGTTTAGTGCCTGCCTTCGGCCCAGGGCCTGATCCTGGAGGCCTGGAATTGAATCCCACGTCAGGCTCCATGCATGGGGCCTGCTTCTCCCTCTGCCTGTGTCTCTGCCTCTCTCTCTCTCTCTTTCTCTCTCATGAATAAATAAATAAAATCTTTAAAAAAAATTTCCTTAGTCATTAGAAATGTGCTTCTTTTTTTTTAAATAATAAATTCATTTTTTATTGGTGTTCAATTTACCAACATACAGAATAACACCCAGTGCTCATCCCGTCAAGTGCCCCCCTCAGTGCCCGTCACCAATTCACCCCCACCCCCCGCCCTCCTCCCCTTCCATCACCCCTAGTTCGTTTCCCAGAGTTAGGAGTCTTTATGTTCTGTCTCCCTTTCTGATATTTCCCACACATTAGAAATGTGCTTCTGATTTAATTCAACTTATAGACTGCATATTCAAGATCATAGGCATTGCTACAAAGGGCCATTCCAATTTTCTTCTTTCAATTATGATATAAACATTAGAAGTTTGGGTGTATGTCCTAGAAAAGATATCTTTTTAACTCACTGAAAGATTTTAAATATTCTGGTGGTGAATTTTAAAAAGTAATAGCAAACAGGGGCATTTTGGTGGCTCAGTCAGTTAAGCATCTGACTCTTGGTTTCAGTTCAGGTCATGATCTCAGCGTAATAGGATCGAGTCCCACATTGGGTTCTGCGCTCAGCTCAGAGTCTGCCTCAGATTCTCTCTTCTTCTCCCTCCAGCTCACACACACACCCTCTCTCAAATAAAATCTTTTAAAAATAAATTAATAAAAATAATAGCAAACAGGCCAAAACTATGTTGGGCACTCATTGTAGTAATTGACGTGTATTTGCTCATTTATTTTATTTTTAAAAGATTTTATTTATTTATTCATGAGAGACACACTGAGAGAGAGAGGCAGAGACACAGGCAAGAGGGAGAAGCCAGCTCCCTGCGGGGAGCCCAATGTGGGACTCGATCCCAGGACCCTGGAATCACGACCTGAGCGGAAGCACTCAACCTCTGAGCCACCCAGGTGCTCTTAATCGAGAAACTTTTAAGAAAAACAATCACCAATTAAGTCAAGTTGGAACCACCAATACCTAGATAAAGCCACATCTATCCATTGATAGTCATGCACATGCCTAGCTTTTATCCCTTGCCCCAGCTCTTTTTACATATTACAGGAGTAAAATTGTTGACACCACAAGGGTTGCAATGGTTTGATTTTTTTTTTCAATAGGAAAAATCAAAACTTCAAAGCAGAAACTGCAAGCAGATGTTTAGGTTTGCCTGATGTGGGTTGAAACCCTCTTCCTATTTATTTAGTAAAGGCCCTAGTTTTATGTTACTGATTGCATGAAGGAAATTTCCAGGGAATGAATGTTTCCTGTTAATTTTTCATGTGAGGGCTCCGGAAAAGATTCAGGGAACTGTCGAAAAATTACACAATGGGACCTCCAGAGGAAGGTCCATATGATCAGCACCAGTCGAAACTTAACATGCAACCTCTTGCAGAGAAGCTGAAACAGGCCATCTGAAGGTCAGGAAAATGAGTAATGATGCGTTACTCGTAGTACTAGGCGTTGGTTTCCAACCCGTATCTGCAGACTGCCACACTGGTAAAGAGCTAGAACGTTTCATTGAAAAGGGAAATGTTGGGATCCCTGGGTGGCGCAGCGGTTTGGCGCCTGCCTTTGGCCCAGGGCGCGATCCTGGAGACCTGGGATCAAATCCCACGTCGGGCTCTCGGTGCATGGAGCCTGCTTCTCCCTCTGCCTATGTCTTTGCCTCTCTCTCTCTCTCTCTGTATGACTATCTTAAATAAATAAATAAATAAATAAATAAATAAATACAAAAAAATTAAAGAAAAGGGAAACAGCTTTAGGTTGATTTCAAAGTAAAAGCAATGTATTAAGAGCTATATATATTTTCAAAGCATCGTTCCTTCTTCTTTTGATTTTCCAAAATAGTATAGACTTTGCCTCGTTTATTTTTCTACCCCTTTGGTAGAGATTGAATCAGCCAAATGATGGAGAAGGAACTGAGTGGGAGAAGAGACTAGAAGATTGCCAAGAAAAATATTCCAATAAAATCCCAATCCAATTTATTTTTCTAGCATTCTTTGTAGGCACTGAACTTAATGTCTCCTCCCTTATTTCGTTTTCCTCTTTAACTATGTCCAAGTAGTAGAATTGAGTGAACTGGTTCAGGTGTCGTTAGACCCTTTCTTGCCTAGTCTTAGACTGGCATATGCCTAGATATTTTATAAAAGGACAATATATCTGATGTTAAAGATCAGTGTTTTTAATTCTTTTTTTAAAGATTTTATTTATTTATTCATGAGAGAGACAGAGAGAGGCAGAGACACAGGCAGAGGGAGAAGCAGGCTCCATGCAGGGAGCCCAATGTGGGACTCGATTCCGGGTCTCCAGGATCACGCCCTGGGTCGAAGGCGGTGCTAAACCGCTGAGCCACCCAGGCTGCCCAATTCTTTAAAAATTACTTTTTTTTTTTTTTTTTACATCAGTTCTTAATTATCATGAGTAGATCCCTGGAAAGGAGGCATGCATCTTCGGACTCTAGATCTCAAGGAATTTGAACCAGTCTAGAGAAAAGTAAACCTTAACCTTAAAGCAGGAATAAACCATTGGGCTGGAAAAGGAGTCATTCATCTTCTTGACACCTCAAATTCTAACTCTGCCCCAGGTAGCTGAGTGACTTTAGGCAAGTGACTCAACATCACCCAGTTGTCTCATCTACAAAACAAAGGTGTTGGGCTAAATGACCATTCTTCTACCTCTTGTATTCTTCTACATTCTGCACTCCCCTCCCCACCACCCCCGACATTGGTCCACTAGAGGGTAAGAGGAATCAACCTAGAAGTGCATTATTTTATTTTATTTTTTTAGCAGTGCATTTTTTAAAAAAATATTTTACTTATTTATTCATGAGAGACACAGAGAGGCAAAGACACAGGCAGAGGGAGAAGCAGGCTCCCTACAGGGAGCCTAATGTGGGACTCGATCCTGGGACTCTGGGATCACGCCCTAAGCCAAAGGCAGACGCTCAACTATAGAGCCACCGAGGTGTCCCAGAAGTGTATTTTTAAAAGCACTTAATTTAGTGGTGAGAAATAAAAAAATGAGTATAAGATAGTAAATACAGCAGTCTCTCTAAATATTCAATAAATAAAATCATTTAGTTTTAGATAGTAGTTGATTGAGATGAAGAGATTCAAAGGGGAGAGAGAATAGGGAAGAACAATTGGATATGTATACATTGAACCATAAGTCCCCATTTTTGTATTACAAGTGGTCCATTATTGGCAACTTATATGGTTCGACCTATTGCTAGAGCTATAATCTTGGTACGTCAAATTTGGACAAATCAGTAGGGTTGCTGGACCACACCAGCGTTGAAGAATACCAGTGTGAACACAGAAATAGTAGAGGACCCTGGAAAATCCATCACTGTGGAATCTGTAGCCCACCCTGGGGCGAGCAGGTATTTATTTGATTTTCGTGATCTCTGAGGCAGAACAAAAGTGTGTCCTGTAATGAAAGGTATGGAAGATACTACCATAACATCGGAACTGCTTTAAATATAGTTCTTCCTAAAATATCAAGTGGTGGCGGAGTGCCTGGCTGGCTCAGTTGGTAAAGCGCATGACTCTCGGTCTCAGGGTTGTGAGTTCACACCCTATGTTGGATGGGAGCCTCATGTGGGTTGATTCTGGAAGCATTCATCGACCGCACTTTAAATGCTCCTTCTTTCATGAGTGACCTAATTAACAGCCAAATGGAAACTTCTCACCTTTCTTATTTATTTTAGTAATCCCTGAAAATTCTGTGAAGGAAGTCTTCAGAGCACCCGGTACCATCAAAGACAGAATCAAGAAGTTACTGGCTCACAAAAACAGCATGAAAAAGAAGGTAAAAATTAAAAATGTCATCACAGAACCTTCTGGAACCCCTGCGCCAAAGGTTAACTTGTGGCCCCTCAACCCTGAAGAGACTGTTTCCAGAGCTAGGACCTCTAATGGAGGAAAGAAACAGAAAGAAGAGAGAAAGAAAGGGGGGCTTGAGGAAGAGGAAAAAAATGAGAAAGCCCTGAAGAACCACGTGGAGCAGGAGCAAAGCCTTCGAGGAGATGTGTTCTGTGAGTAACACTTTTGTTATTTTACACATTTTATGAAAAATGAATTGTGATTTCTCCTGACAAGTGAAAGAAGATGAGACAGCTCCATGCCTGAAGTAAAATTGGGTTTGGTGCTGATGCTTAAGAAGCAGGGTTCTCTGTAAGGTCTGCAAATGAACGTCTTCTGCAGATCCCAAATCAAATTTGCTGCTGTGGGAAACAAGGAGGATAGAAGTCCTTCCCCCTTCCCCCGGGGGGGTTCCTATTTGATGCAGACCCTCTTTCTGCTCTCAGCCAAGTACACTTGCTAGCCCCGTGAGCACAGTTGTCTGACTCCCCACCTCTCCACACAGCACACCCCCAAACCAGAGAGACCCCGGATCCAGGTTGATCTGCCAAGCTCCGCCTTTTTACTTCTTTTTTTTCTTAAGATTTTATTTATTTATCCATGAGAGACCCAGAGGGAGAGGCAGAGACACAAGCAGAGGGAGAAACAGGCTCCATGCAGGGAGCCGGATGTGGGACTTGATTCTGTGACTTCAGGATCACACCCTAAGCCGAAGACACTCAACCGCTGAGCCACCCAGGCGTCCCCGCCTTTTTACTTCTTGAAGGCACTTTTGACAGGTCCGCTGGTGCAAGGGGAATTTCACAGTTGTGTGGCTACACTTTAGCCCAAATGAGGGGATCCCTGGGTGGCTCGGTGGTTTAGCGCCTGCCTTTGGCCCAGGGCGTGAACCTGGAGTCGGGGATCGAGTCCCGCGTCGGACTCCTGGCATGGAGCCTGCTTCTCCCTCCTCCTGTGTCTCTGCCTCTCTCTCTCTCTATGTCTATCATAAATAATAAATAAATATATGTTTTTAAAAATAAATAAATAGGGGATCCCTGGGTGGCGCAGCGGTTTAGCGCCTGCCTTTGGCCCAGGGCACGATCCTGGAGACCCGGGATCGAGTCCCACGTCGGGCTCCCGGTGCATGGAGCCTGCTTCTCTCTCTGCCTGTGTCTCTGCCTCTCTCTCTCTCTCTCTCTGTGTGACTATCATAAATAAAAAATAAATAAATAAAATAAATAAATAAATAAATAGCCCAAATGAGGGCAGCCCCGGTGGCTCAGTGGTTTAGCGCCACCTTCGGCCCAGGGCATGATCCTGGAGTCCCGGGATCGAGTCCCACATCAGGCTCCCTGCATGAAGCCTGCTTCTCCCTCTGCCTGTGTCTCTGCCTCTCTCTCTCTCTCTCTCTCTCTCTCTCTCTCTCTGCGTGTCTCTCATAAATAAATATTTTTTCAACCCACCATAAGTCTCAGCCCCTCCAGGGTACTTTCCATATTAACCCCTCAACGTCCCCACGCTAAGACTTTGCATTTCTTTCTCACTGGGCATTTGTTGCTGCCTCTGGGGTGTTATTGCCTTGTCTGTCCTTGGCTCCATAGCTGTTCGATTGAACCAAATGAACGGTAGACCCAGGCCCACCTCTGCAAGAACTAGCATACCAAAGGCATCATCTCCTCTAACAGAGGGTGAAAATCTCGAGAAAGCACACTTCCAAACCTGGTGAGAAGGGACACGTTACTAGTGTAGGTGTTTAGGACATCTTTGGAAAACGATGTTCTAGACGAGGAAACTGGAACCAATATGAATGCTTTGGGAATGTTAAGGGAACTGCCCTTCCATATTTTATAATTAGAATACATGATAAAACTCTCTCCATTCATTCATTCATTCATTCATTCATTGATTCTTAGCATGTGAGGGTTCAGGGTTTTTCTTAACTGATCAAATGTTGTTTATTAGCCCCTAAGGTGAATGAAGCGGGTGAATTGGGTCTCGTTCTGGCCCACGGAAAACCTGTAACATCCAGACTGGAACACAAAGGTAAATAATCCTTTGTCTCAAGAGTATGCCCTTCTGCAGCATCCCACATCGTTTTAATTTCTTTGTACAATGAGATCATTATTTAGGAATCACTGCTTCATTCCTAAAGACCCAAGGGAAAAGTCACTACACCTTGACACACCGTGCCCGTATGAAAATAGTGGGTCCTTACGTGATTCGTAAGGTCGATATGGGAAGGCTGTCTTCTCTCCGCCGCTCTTGCCTGACACCTAGAGCGATGGGTTGAGGCAGATGGTATATATTTGAAGATGGGAGGGATCCCTGGGTGGCTCAGCAGTTTGGTGCCTGCCTTCGACCCAGGGCGTGATCCTGGAATCCCGGGATCAAATCCCACATCAGGCTCCTGTGTGGAGCCTGCTTCTCCCCCTGCCTGTGTCTCTGCCTCTCTCTGTCTCTCTGTGTGTCTCTCATGAATAAATAAAATCTTAAAAAAAAAAAAAAGAAGATGGGAGAAAAGGATTCATTTGCTTCAACCTCCACACCTGAGGGCCCACTGAAAATTACCATGGACTAAATTCCAAGCCCAAGTGCCTGTGTCTGTTACCTATTGTCACAGTAGCGCGGCATAATAAACAACCACAGACCCTCAGACCTTCAGTATTAAATGTTTATCTTTACTTATGAGTCTGTGGATCAGCTGGGTAGTTCTGGTCTGAGCTGGTCTGGGTGGGTCTGGGTAGGGCTTACCCATGTGTCTGCAGTCAGCCGTGGGCCTACTCAGTGACTTTGCTGATCTGAGCTGTGCTCTTGCATGTGCCTAGGGCCTTAGTTGGGACAACAGGGTGACTCAGCTGTGCTCTATGTAGTGTCTCATTCTCCAGCAGGCCAGCCAAGATGGTTCTCTTGAAGCAGTGGCAGGGTTCCAAGAAAGAGCAGGAGCACACAGGCCTTTTGAGGTCTAGGCTCAGAAGTAGCACAGCATCACTTCCATATTCTGTTGGCCAAGGCAAGTCACAAGGCCGGGCTGGACTCAAGAGTCAGGGAAGGTGCTACAAAGTCATATTGCAAAGAGCATGGATACTGGGAGTAATTTTTTTAAAGATCACAACAGAATTTGTCCAGAATGACTTCACAGATTTAAACCGAAACACAGTATCTGCTATGACACTATCCTGAAGGCCATTTCATTTGCCATGATCTGTACTCCATGCAGTTGTTCTGACTTTGTTAGATTAATAATGGTTTAAAAAGGCCACAAGAGGGATCCCTGGGTGGCGCAGCGGTTTGGCGCCTGCCTTTGGCCCAGGGCGCGATCCTGGAGACCCGGGATCGAATCCCACGTCGGGTTCACGGTGCATGGAGCCTGCTTCTCCCTCTGCCTGTGTCTCTGCCTCTCTCTATCTCTCTCTCTGTGACTATCATAAATAATAATAAATTTAAAAAAAAATAAAAAAAAAATAAAAATAAAAAGGCCACAAGAGAGATTGAAAGAGAGATATTTGTTACTCACAGGGCCTGGAGGATCACAGCACACTTTGAGCACTACACAGGGAAGTTGAGGCAGGGTGCTTAAAGAGAGAGACAGACAGGAGCTAGGGCACACACCCTTATTACTGTTCATGTGCGGAGTACTTTGGGGTTCTGGGCTGAAGCTGGATTGGTCAATTCAAACCAGAAAGATCAGGGTCTTATTGAGTTCTAGGGGAGTCCTGTTTTTTTAATGATTAGTTTATTTATTTATGAGATATATAGAGAGAGAGCATGAGCAGGGGAGAAGAACAGGAGAGGGAGAAGCAGACTCACTGCTGAGCAGGGAGCCCGATGAGGGACTTGATCCCAGGACCCCGGATCATGACCTTAACCGACTGAGCCACCCAGGTGCCCCGCTCCGAGGGAGTCTTATCTAAGGAGTGCACCTTTAGGGTCCTCTAAGAGGATGGCCCTAGGAGCAGGGGAGGCCTGTTGATCACAAGGGATGTTGGGAAGTCATATCAAGAACTTATATTTCCTTGTGACTTGGCAGGCTGCTCTCTGTGGCTTCCACTAGCATGAGGGGTGAAGGTCAGTTTTAGGGTATTTGGCCAAACAAAATGGTTGCCAAGGCAGCAACACCATAAGCTACTCCCTCAGCTCAATACTCGACGACAACTGGAAACATCACATTGCCTTCCAGAGCTCCAAATGTTAGACATGTTTCTAATGCTCTGAATGATTATGAAATGTACCCTCGTTCTTCACAGATTTAAATATCTCCGTAGACTGCAGCTTTGACCATGGGGTCTGTGACTGGAAACAGGATATAGAAGATGACTTTGACTGGAATCCTGCTGATCGAAATAATGGTATTGAGATTTTGTTCTTTTGTGTTCTGTGATACAGCACGGGTAAAGAAGCCTCTCCAGTGATACAGGAGAGGTATCACTCCTCTTATTATTATCCTTATTATTCCTAGGTCTTGTTAGGTCAGGGTTGTCTGTCACGTTTGGAAATTTTTAGACCTTCCTGAAATCTCTCCTGATAAATGGCTGAGTTGGTTCAGCATATATGCTCCACCTTATTATCCCTCTTACCCTGCCCACCCACACACAGGATGTTCCAGCAAAACTCTTCCATAGTCATTCCTGCTGCTGAGAGAGAGAGAGATGTTGGAATTAATGTACATTTTTTTAAAAAGAGTTTTAAAGGAAACTATTTTTTAAAGTAATTTCTGTGCCCCACATGGGGCTCAAACTCACAACCCCAAGATCCAGAGTTGCAAGCTCTGCCAACGGAACCAGCTGGGTGCCCCAGAATTCATGTACCTTTTAAGAGCACGGGGGGAAAGGTAGAAAGACATTGTTCCTTTTCCCGGTTTGCCAGCTAATGGTGCTCTGTAGCTTTTGTTTAGTTTTTTTGTGGGAAAATAAATCTGGAAAGGAAATATGACCTCTGCCTATATCTGAAGTTTTAGTGAAGTCACCCCTCAAAGTCTCCACACCGGAATGAGCCATCAGGTCAGCAACCTGAACTTTCCCCTCTATTGTTTGCAGATTTCCTTCTGGCCACTTAAACTGGGACTTTTTCAACTTCGGCTCCGAGCTGTGGCATTCCAGCCCTTTCCACTTCTTGGTTCAACACTATTGATGGGCCCCGTCTTTCCCCTTGGGTAGAGCATTTGGCCTGCAGATCCCATTCGGAGCATAAATGGAATCCCTGTCTCCTGACGCTGACCATGTAGTTAGAGACAGCTCTGGTTCTCAGGTTCTTTACAAATCCATTTATTTATTTGAGGATCTACCAATTCAGCCCTCATTTATAAGATCCTCCTATATCCTTCCTCTAGATTAATTCTTCCTTTAGATCTCTCCTTTCACATGCAACCAGGAAACCTGGATATTCCCTAACAAAAATTCCTTGTAAAACTTGAGATTAGGGTAGAGGGGATACACATCCCATGAAGCAAGTTGTGTGAGTGAGACTGTCCCCAAAGATTCAGGGCAAGCACAGGGCGAGCTCAACCAGTCTGGAGACAGTACGTCTTTGGAGAGCCTGTCTTGTCTGTAGTTAACTTGAGTTCCTCCTTCTTCCATCGTGGCATCTCCCAGTTTATGTCTGCCAGGGCTGTATGACACAGGGATCCCGTAGGTCATTCCAGGATCTCGACAGTTTGCACAGTCAGTACGTCTTAGGTTGGGTTTCCCAGCAATGGGAAGTCCCGTGTTGACAAACACGATTCATAAAAGGCCCCAGGGTTGTCAGCCTTCGTGTCACTCACATGATACTTTCCTCCCTCCTGCTGCACCCCCTAGGGTGCTAGATGGGCTTGTCTTTCCCTGCAGAGTTAAACATAAGAAAGAAAAACATGGGATGAATCAGCATTTTTAGAATGATAAAATCTCCAGGACAGATCAAGATGGGCTTTAGTGGCGAGAGGAGAAATCTGCCGCAGCGGGTCCCAGAAGAGAGGGTGTCTGTGGTAGGGTGGCTAGACGAAGTGTAGCATGCCTACATTTCAGATGAGCAGTGAATATTTTTCAGTATATCTCAGACATGTGCTGATCTGAAATGCAAACTCTCCTGAGCCTCCTGTATCTTTATTTGCTGAATCTGGCAATTTTACTAGCTGGAGAAGACCAGACAGTCTCTGAGTCCAGTGAAAACTAAGGCAGTGTCAACCTGGCTCCTGCTAGTGTCTCCGGGAAGGTGCTAGCAGAAGACTCGAGCCCCTACCCCAGCCCCCAGTGTATTCCTCCTGACTTCCACAGGAATTCCTTCTTTGCATTCAGACCCCACTCTGTGAGACCCCACTCTGTGAGACCCCATTCTGTGAGACCTCACTCTGTGAGACCCCATTCTATGAGAATGTTTGCCCAAGTTCATCAAAGCCACAGCCAGAGGCTGGGAGGTGAGCAATGTGCACTACCACTGGTTAAAAGATACTTAGGCGTGGATCTTGGGAACAGGAGACGTGTTCCTGGCATCCTGAACTGGAACTCAGAGTGATACGTTACGAGTGGTGGTTGAGCTCCATGAAACCATGAGTACAAATTCACGTATGTTGTGGACTAGATGCCACACCGCCTAAATAGCTGGCCATCACACGTATCATTGACTCTGTGGGAAAATGCATTCCAAGCCTTAGACAACCAAGGTGGAAGGTTTTGGAACACACATTCTCCATCAGCTGGAAATTACCCGCAGTGTTAAAAGACTCTTCCATTAGATTCTTATGCCAGGTCTGCTACCACCACACTTCGGGAACGTGGACAAATTCCTCAGTTTCTCTGACCCTTAATTTCCTTTTCTGTATCACAAAGACTTTCGTCTCTGTGATCCCAAAAATCCATTTTAGCATGTAAATTTTGTTCCTGTGTTTGAAATGAAAAGGACTTCAGCTTTCCCTATAGGAGACTATCATTGATTTTCTTTTTGTTTATGGTTTTTGTTTTTGTTTTTTAATTCCAGTTCTCTGGAATTAGCCAGAGCCTTCACAATGGCTTCACTAACTGTGCGTTTTTCTTCTCCTGAAGCTGTTGGCTACTACATGGCAGTTCCAGCCCTGGAGGGCCGTAAGAAGGACGTGGGCCGGTTGAAACTCCTCCTCCCGGACCTGCAGGCCCAAAGCAACTTGTGTTTGCTCTTTAATTACCGGCTGGCTGGAGTCAAAGTAGGGAAACTGCGAGTGTTTGTGAAAAACAGTAACAATGCCCTGGCCTGGGAGGAGACTGGAAGTGAGGATGAAAGGTGGAAGACTGGGAAAATTCAGTTGTATCAAGAGACTGGCACTACCAAAAGTGTAAGTGGAAAACCAGTGTTAAATGAGATACATGCTTTTTCAGTGATTCAACAAACACAACAAAACACTCAGGTACCCAGTCCCTGGGGCCACAAGGATGAGTAAGACTTTCCCCCTCCACCTGAAGAGTTTCTGTTCTGGAGCAAAATAAGCGAGGCAATTAGTCAGCACAAGGAGCGCTGTCAGGTGCCTGCGTATCACACACTCTAGGAAGGATCTGTGTGTGTGTCAGACTCCTCACCCACAGCCTCTCAAACCAGACCATGCGATCCTTAATATATCAAAGAATGTCTTACTCTTTTGTTCTGTGCCCAGCACTTATCACAATGAATGGAAGCTAGACGGTCATTTTTTTTTAAGATGTTATTTATTTATCTGAGAGAGAGAGGTAGAGAGAGAGAGAGAGAGAGAGAGAGTGCACGAGCAGGGGGGAGGGGCAGAGGGAGAGGGAAAAGCAGACTCCCCACTGAGCAGGGAGTGATCCTGCAGGGCTCTGATCCCAGGACCCTGGGATCATGACCTGAACTGAAGGCAGACGCTTCACCAACTGAGACACCCAGGTGCCCTAGAAGGTCATTTTTTAAATCTTTTTATTTTTTTTAAGATGTTATTTATTTATTCATAAGAGACAGAGAGAGAGAGACAGAGACACAAGCAGAGGGAGGAGAAGCAGGCTCCATGCAGGGAGCCCGATGTGGGACTCGATCCCTAAAATGTTTTTTATTTTTATTTTATTTTTTTTTTAATTTTTTTTTTATTTATTTACAATAGTCATACAGAGAGAGAGAGAGAGAGGCAGAGACACAGGCAAAGGGAGAAGCAGGCTCCATGCAAGGAGCCCGACTTGGGACTCGATCCTGGGTCTCCAGGATCACACCCCGGGGCTGAAGGCAGGCGCTAAACTGCTGCGCCACCAGGGCTGCCCCCTAAATGTTTTTTAAATGAAATTGTGGCTATTGCCTGGGATCCCAAGACAGTCAGGATCTATGGTTCCCTCGGAGGACTCACAGAATTCAGAGAAGCTGTCCTATTCGGGATTGCAGTTTATTACAGTGAAAGGATAGTGAATGAAGTCAGCAGAGGGAAAGGGCACATGAGGCAGAGTCCAGGAGAGCGGGTACAAGCCTGCGGTGTTCCTCTGCAGTAGAATCAGATGGATGGCTCTCCGTTCTCTCAGCAGTGATGCGTGACAATACTCAGAGTGTGGCCCACCGGCGAAGCTCACCCAAGCCCTGGCATTCTGGGTTTTTGTTGGGGGTCGGTCTGCGCACATAGCTGATCTTAGAGTTGCTCAGTCTCCAGCCTCTCTAGAGGTCAGGCTATATCTGTGTGATCCGGGGCTCTCACGGTAATGCACGTTGTTGGCCTAAATTATCTAACATGAGCAAAGACACTCTTGAGAGGCAAGATATTCCAAGGACTTAGAGGTTATCTCCCAGGAACCAGTCGAGAGCCATACCTTCTTTAGAATGTTCAGGGTCTAGCCAACCTGGACCTCCTGGATTCATCCTTTTCTGTACAGTGGGTTTATTTATTTATTTTTTAAAGATTTTATTTACTTATTCATGAGAGACATAGTGAGAGAGAGAGAGGCAGAGACACAGGCAGAGGGAGAAGCAGGCTCCATGCAGGGAGCCCGACACAGACTCAATCCCAAGTCCCCAGGATCACGCCCTGGGCCGCAGGTGGCACTAAATTGCTGTACAGTGGGTCTAATAAAGGAAAAGGGAACAGAGTTTAAGAGGAAATTGGTCAATGAGATGAAATGGTCAGAAAGAACAAATGGGATAAAAATGACAGAGTCTATCAAGTCTGACCATCAGGAGGTGGCTGGTGACCCTTGGGGGAGAGGGGGGGAAAGCCCCCCTATAGAGAGATGAGGAGGAGAGCCGAGACTGGGAGGCAGCCACTGTGGACCCTTGTGAAAAGTTTGGTTGGGGGCTGCCTGGGTGGCTCAGTGGTTTAGTGTCTGCCTTCGGCTCAGGTCGTGATCCCGGGGTTCCGGGATCGAATCCCACATCAGGCCCCACGGGGAGCCTGCTTTTCCCTCTGCCTCTCACTATTTCTCATGAATAAATAAATAAAATCCTTAAAAAAAAGTTTGGTTGAGGTGAGCAGAGGTGAGGTGGAACCTAGAAGGGGATACATGAAAAGCTGATTAACAACTAATGGTCTCAAGAGGAAGGGCGATTAGTAGATTCATGAAGTGGGTGGGATTCCATTTACACTTTGCTTGTGAAAGATAATGATTCATTAACAAAAGGGAAAAGCCTGTTTTTTGGTAATAGGCAGAAGTGGAAAGCCTGGAATCTAGTGTCAGATGTGATATTCAGTATCTCTTTATTTACTCGTCACACTTAAGCAGAACATCTTATTTAAAATATGGCCTAGGAAAAAAAAAATAAAATAAAATAAAATATGGCCTAGGGGCAGCCCGGGTGGCTCAGCGGTTTAGTGCCTGCCTTCGGCCCAGGGTGTGATCCTGGAGACCTGGGATCGAGTCCCACGTCGGGCTTCCTGCGTGGAGCCTGCTTCTGCTTCTCCCTCTGCCTGTGTCTCTGCCTCTCTTTCTCTCTGTGTCTGTTATGAATAAATAAATAAAATCTTTAAAAAAATAAATAATAAAATAAAATAAAATAAAATAAAATATGGCCTAAGATAGGACTATAGATAAAATACGTGTTGGGTTATAGTTTATTTTTTTCACCATTTTTTCTCTCTTCCACTGCTTTACAATGTTTACTGCTAATGAACACAGCAATTCTAGTTTATGCTCATTTCAACATATTTGCATCAATACAAATCTAATCCACATATTTACAGTATTGTGTGTGTAGTGTGGTTTGGGGACCATGACACTGAGCTGTGCTGTGTAGAGTTGACATCCTATTGGAAAATTGAAATATGCCTCTGCACAGCATTTGCAATTACCTCCATGACTGAATTTATATACTGAGAAATATTTCCTATAATGTGGTAGCTTGGGGGTGAGTAGTAGTATGTGCCATAAAAACAGTGACTTTTTTTTTAAATACACAATTTTGCAAATATGCCCCCAAAGAGCCTGGCCAGCAAGGACACTCTAACACAGCACAGCTCTATCAAGAGGGATGCTCAGACCCCGCCAGGCCCTGATGCAGACACCTGTGCCCTGTACTTTTTCAGTGTGAGAGGAACCCTTACTGGGCCATACTGGGGGCAGGAAGGGGATGCTGAAGAACCTAGAGTAAAGCATGCATACCACTTTGTCAGTGTCCTATTGGCTGTGGATATTTGTAGCCGATGCAACTCTTATTCCGTAAACAAGGCATACAAGGTAAAGCACATTACTTTCTCTAAATCAAATTCTATCTGAATCCAAAGCTGCATCCCTAATGTGGCAGGAGGGTGAGGTGGGATTCAAGCTCGGCTATTTGCTCATGCCACCCCGGTGCCCCTCCCGTTACTACTTTTTTAAAATTTTAATTCCAGTGTAGTTAACATACGGTGTTATTTCAGTTTCAAGTGCACAATATAGTGACTCAACAATTCTATGCTCAGTGCCCATCATGGTAAGTGTGCTCTGCATCCTCGTCACCTCCTTCCAGGACTGTGTTGAATGACAGTGGTGAGAGTGGACATCCTTGTCTTGTTCCTGATCTTAGGGGGAAAGCTCTCGGTTGTTCACCATTATGATGTTAACTGTGGGGTTTTCATATATGGCCTTTATTATGCTGCGATATGTTCCCTCTAAACCTGCTTCTGTTGAGGGTTTTTATCATGAATGGATGTTGTACTTTGTCAAATGCTTTTTCTGCATCTATTGAAATGGTCCTATGGTTTTTCTCTTTTCTCTTGTTGATGAGGATCCCATTGATTGAATAAATCCCACTTGATCACGGTGAATGATTTTCTTAATATATTGTTGGATTCTGTTTGCTAACATTCTGTTGAGAATGTTTGCATCTATGTTCATCAGAGATACTGGCCTGTTCTCTTTTCTTGTGGTGTCTTTATCTGGCTTTGGTCACAGGGCAATGCTGGCCTCATAGAATGAGTTTGGAAGCTTTCTTTCCTCTTCCATTTTTTGAAATATTTTGAGAAGACTAGGAATTAACTCTTCCTTAAATGTTTGGAAGAATTCACCTCTGGAGCTGTCTGATCCTGGACTTAACTGTTTCTTGAGAGTTTTTTGATTACTAATTAATTATCATTACTGGTAATCAGTTTGTTCAAATTTTCTATTTCTTTCTAAGTATTGGAGGTTACGTGTTTCTAGGAATTTAGCGATTTCTTCTATGTGGTCTAGTTTGTTGCTTATCTTTTCAAAGAACTGGCTTCTGGTTTCATTGACCTTTTTTTTCTATTTTATTTCTGCTTTAATCTTATTTCCTTCCTTCTAGTGGTTTTAGGTTTTATTTGTTCTTCTTTTCCTAGCTCCTGTAGGTGTACTGTTAGGTTGTTTATTTCAGATTTGTCTTGCTTCTTGAGGTAGGCCTCTATTGCTGTAAACTCCCCTCATAGAACAGCTTTGCCACATCCCACAGATTTTGGACCATTGTGTTTTCATTTTCATCTGTCTCCATGTAATTTTTAAAATTTCTTCTTTGATCTCTTAGTTGACCCATTCATTGTTTAGTAGCATGTTACCAAACCTCTATACTTGCTAAATGATGTTTATAAGTTTTTTGGCCATTGTAGTATTTTTTAAAAAATAGGTCATATTGGGGCACCTGGGTGTCTCAGTCGGTTAAATGTCTACCTTCGGCTCAGATCAGATCCCAGAGTCCTGAGATTGAGTCCCGCATCGGGCTCCCTGTGCAACCCACTTGTCTCTCTCCTCCCCGCTCATCCTCTATCTCTGTCTCTCACTCTCAAATAAATAAATATAATCTTTAAAAATATATATCTTAAAAAAAACAGATAATAGTTTTGTATTCAGAAAGACATTGTAATACCTAATTCAATGATTATGAAAATAATAATAGCTATAATTTATGGAGCATTATTAAATACCATGCGTTGTAAGGAGAAATAATAGAGTAATATACCTAAGGGATTCCTTAATTTTTCAATTATCAATATCAGAAATATACAGATTTAGAGAACAGCAAAATGATTCTTTTTTCAAAGAGGACTAAGATTGTCCTGTAACAAAAGTTTTAGAGAGAAAAAATAATTTGGAAAATGTCATTCTTCTTTAAAGTGACACACACACATATTCTATCAAAATGAATTCAATAGGGCAGCCCAGGTGGCTCATCAGTTTAGCGCCACCTTCAGCCCAGGGGCTGATCCTGGAGACCCAGGATCAAGTCCCACGTCGGGCTCCCTGCATGGAGCCTGCTTCTTCCTCTGCCTGTGTCTCTACCTCTCTCTGTGTGTCTCTCATGAATAGATAAATAAAATCTTTTAAAAAATGAATTCAAGGGGATCCCTGGGTGGCGCAACGGTTTGGCGCCTGCCTTTGGCCCAAGGCGGGATCCTGGAGACCCGGGATCGAATCCCACATCGGATACCCGGTGCATGGAGCCTGCTTCTCCCTCTGCCTATGTCTCTGCCTCTCTCTCTCTCTCTCTCTCTCTCTGTGACTATCATAAATAAATTTAAAAATGTTTTTAAAAAATGAATTCAATAGCATGTACATACTATGGTTATAAATAGATTAAAATATGTGTTCATGTGGAAGGTAAAATGCAAAATATGGAAGGACTCATGTTAATTATAGATGATAAATCTTTTTTTTAAAGATTTTATTTATTCATTTGAGAGAGAGCATGAGTGACAGGGAGAGGCAGAGGGAGTGGGAGAAGCAGACTCCCCACTGAGCCGGGAGCTTGATATGGGACCCTATCCCAGGACCTTGAGATCATGACCTGAGCTGAAGGCAGATGCTTAAGCAATTGAGCCACCCAGACACCCCCAATTATAAATCTTTACTTTCTTTTTTAACAAAGTGTTGTCTTTTCTAAGCTTTTTAAAAACATATATAGATTCACACTTATAAAAAATTAGCATTTTAAAGAAAGATGCTTTAAGAATCATACTCATATCAATGCCATCATATAGCTATTCACCATCCCCACCAGCGTCTCTTTTCTGCTTCATCAGTAATCCCCAAATAGTTTTGAAGGTGATAGAGATGAAGCACTTTAGGCTTGCTGTCTCTACTGTGTCCCGTTTTCTGTGGTTCTTCAAAGAGAAGAGGGGGAGCCTCAGAGGGACAAATGGGAGTGAAGAGACACTGCAACTGCCCACTGCCTAGGCTGCTCTCTATGGCTCTTACGCTCCCTGGGTGCATTTTCTTAAGAACTGCTAGAGACAAGCTGTTGCTGAGCAGCAAGTGATAGCACAACTGGGTATAGAAGTTGCTTCCTCCTCCAGTCTCTTCTCAGGAAGGAACTACTTTTGGGAAGATGTTCCTTTAGGATAAGTTTTAAAAGCAGTGAACCCCAAAATAGACCCATCACAACACCTACAATGGGTGGGATAACGAGGGTGGGCATGTTTAGATCTTGAGATCTGGCAGCTTTTCCATCCCCCAAATCCCTGACAGATACCCCAGATAACTAAAAATAAATGTCTGGATAATTAATTGACATCCTAATTTGGGTTTATTTTTCATAATATTTAGGCCTGCCTCGATACAAAAAAAAAAATAGACAAGCTTCTTATGTTTTATCAAGAAGCTGTGGGATATAACAATCAAAAGCAAGCATTTCTAGGAAACCAACTCATTCCTGACGTTTGTTCCCTGAAAGCTTAGACTCCCTGAGCAGACTATTCTGGTAAAGGGCAGAGAGAAGTGCCTGTGAAGGACGGAAGCAGAAGCACTGATGGGGTAGTGAGATTCTCCAGGACTCAGAAGCTGTACCATTGCATCTCTCTGGCAGAGCTCTGGGCAGGAAATGGTTGTCTGAGGTTTCCATTGAGGCTAGATTCTTAGCAACAAGACTCTAGCCTCAGTAAAGATTTCTGTGTACTGCCCAGGCATGGAAGTTGAAAAAATGAGTGATTTGGGGGTACCTGGGTGGCTCAGAGGTCGAGTGTCTGCCTTTGGTTCAAGTCATGATCCCGGGGTCCTGGGATTTAGTCCTGTGTGGGGCTCCCTGCATGGAGCCTGCTTCTCCTCTGCCTGTGTCTCTGCCTCTCTGTGTGTCTCATGAACAAATAAATAAAATCTTTAAAAAATAAAAAAAGTTTGTAGTAATGGGAAAGGAGAAAAACAGCATTCAGCTATTATTTAATAATATTTCTTTGTAAATAGTTTTGGATGAATGAATATAAAATAGTAATAGTATTAAAGATAATAGTATATCTTTAATTTTGTTAAATGGGTCACTCCTGTCATTTTGTGTGCAAATTCAAGATAAATATTCTAGTATTCATCCTCTCTCTGTTCTCTTTACATTAGACATTTCTAAAATATAAGGAAGTTCAGTTCTCTTTTGATTATTAATAGATAGTAGGTATTTTATTTGATCTATTTTGATTAGTAGAAATATTTTGATTTTTATCACAGATAAAAATTATTATAGCCTACTATGTAACATTTTTCAAAACATGAAAACAATGACATTCTCAATAATTTCTAATATTAATGCCAATATTTTAAGAAAAATGGCTATATTACTACAAATTACCAAAATCTGAATATATCAAAATCATTCACTCTCAACTATAGAGCTTTACATTAGATGTTCACAGGGAATGTTAAATTTCTTCTAGCTTGGTTTTTTGTTTTTTGTTTTTTTATACTAGCTTGGTTTTTGAAAAGAAAACCACATTATTGTTTTATTTTTCCTTTAAAAGGGAATTCCAAAATTTCCTTTTCAGCCATACCTTTCTCAGCTTTTCAGGACTGTCCAGATTCTTTTCGGTGTTGCAATAATCCTGTTTTCTCTGAATGTAATCCACTCAGTGCAGATACTGGCATCTGGAAAATACATTACTATATATGCAATCTCCATGCCTGCTCCTGTGCAGTAGGGACTGATGAATTCAGTTTTTTTTTTAAGATTTTATTTATTTATTCATGAGAGACACAGAGGGAGAAGCAGGCTCCATGCAGGGAGCCCGACATGGGACTTGATCCCCGGTCTCCAGGATCACGCCCTGGGCTGAAGGCAGTGCTAAACCGCTGAGCCACCCAGGCTGCCCAGATTTTTTGTTTGTTTGTTTGTTTTGTTTGTTTGTTTTTTTAAGTAATCTTTATGCACAGAGTGGGACTCAAACTCATAACCCAAGATCAAGAGTCTCAGGCTCCATCCACTGATTCAACCAGGTGCCCTGAGTTCAATCCTTTTTAATAGCTATTAAATAGGGCCGCCTGGATGGCTCAGCAGTTGGGTGTCTGCCTTTGGCTCAGGGCATGATTCAGAGGTCCTGGGATCTAGTCCCACATCAGGCTCCCCACAGGAAGCCTTCTTCTGCCTCTGCCTGTGTCTCTGCCTCTATGTCTCTCATGAATAAATAAATAAAATATTTTTAAAAATACCTATTAAATAGTTTGGTCATGGGCAGCACGGGTGGCTCAGCGGTTTAGCACCGTCTTCAGCCCAGGTCCTGATCCTGGAGACCTGGGATCGAATCCCATGTCAGGCTCCTTGCATGGAACCCGCCCCTCTCTGTGTCTTTGTGTGTCTCTCATGAATAAATAAAATCTTTAAAATAATAAATAAATAAATAAATAAATAGGTCATATCATTGACTTGAATAATTTGAAGTAATATTTTTTATCTTCTCCATTATTAGATCATTTTTGAAGCAGAACGTGGCAAGGGCAAAACTGGAGAAATTGCAGTGGACGGCGTCTTGCTGGTTTCAGGCTTATGTCCAGATGGCCTTTTATCTGTGAATGGCTAAATGTTACTGTGCTCTTTTGTATCTTTATATTTAGCTTTTTTATGTCAGTTCTCTGTTTTCTAATATTACATCATAGATTGCCCCACTTTAGAAATGCAAACTGAAAAATTGTAATGTATCAACAGAAACGTTATTGTAAGCTGCCTTTCTTACGTAAGATATGCCAATATCTGCTTTAAGAACCACTTGTCACCTCATTCATTTCTGAATTTATAAAATGTAGAAATGTGGAAAAAGCTCAGCTTCGCCCCACCCCAGTATATCTGATTCATCTACACAAGTTGATGGACCTCTATGTAACATTTTTAGAATTATAAAAATACAACAAACAAACAACAAAAACCCCACAGAGAATCGTTTCTCTGTTTGACTTTTCTGGCACTTCTTAGAAGCTGACATCACAGATTTTTATCTAAGTGGCTTAGCCTGATCATTTACAGCCCAGCTTATATATTTAAATTCTTTGTAATAATATTCAAATAATCACCCGTGTCTTGGTTTAAGTTTTTTCTAAGTAAGAAAATGTGTTATTGGTGTTCTGTTTCAAAATGTATATAATTATTTGCTTTACTGGGAAATATAGGTTTCCTTCTTTTTCTTTGGAAATACTTTATATTCTTAAAATTCTTAAAATTATTTCCTTTTGGGACGCCTGGGTTGCTCAGTGGTTGAGCATCTGCCTTCAGCTCAGGTCATGATCCCAGGATCCTGGGATCCAGTCCCAGATCAGGCTCCCCACAGGGAGCCTGCTTCTCTCTCTGCCCCTCTCTATGTGTCTCACATAAATAAATAAAATCTTTTAAAAAAAAATGTGTAGTCTCAGTCTTAAATTTTTTTAAACTGAAACTTTTAGTAATCCTTTATTTAAAAAAAATCATAATCTCTTTTCAACAATGTTCTCTTTAATACAACCAACACATACACACAACCTTTTAAGATGTTAGGGGGAAAACACTGGGTTTTTTTTTAGTGTGAAGTAATTTTGGCATACAAAGTCTTGTCTTCAAAGGTTGTCATTGCATCTGTTAGGATAACCTCTAGTTATAGAAACCCCCAAAATAGTCTTTCAAATGAGACCGGATGAAGATGTGCCAAGCTAAGTCAAATCAGCCTGCAGAATTGTGAGAGATAACAAAATGGCTGTTTTAAGACACTAAGATTCGGAGTGGTTTGTTCTGCAGCAAGAGCTAACTGGTACAGGTGATTTCTAAGACTGTGACACAACTTGAAGAAGAACCCCCTGTTTCTTCAGTGACCGAGGAAATTCAAGAGCACAGTTACAGCTTAGAATCAAGGAAGACAGAAGGGAGAACTTGGAACAAAGGACCAGTGTGTCCCAGTGATCCAGGTTAAAAGAAGAGATGTTGAATCAGAAATGAAATAGGGAAGCCTGGGAATCAGGTTAGTTATGGGTAGAAAGTCATTAAATTCATTGCACAAGGCTGAGTTAAGCAGAGTTAAATCATAGCATTTCATGTTTCTTTAAGATCTCTAGTGGAGATTTCTAGCTGCCTACCCAATATCCATTCTTGAATTTTTTCCTTACTACTATGACCATGTAAAAAAATACTTATATGTGTGTGTGTTTGTGTGGGGTTTTTTTGTTTTGTTTTGTTTTTGGTTGGGGGAGTGGAATGTGCTGAATTAGAAGGCTGCATCTCCCGACCTCTCGGAGATGGAGAGCCTCCTGAAGTCATTGGTGGGGCTTCCAGGAAGGGTCATTAAAGAGAGTTGTCAGTTCGCCGCCCCTCTTGGCCTTTCTCTTCCCGTTCCTTCCTGCAGTGTGTTTGGTTGTGAAGGCAGGAGCTCTGTGAGCTACCTTGCAATCATGAGGTCAAAGGTCGTAGCTCATGGAGGAGCGCATAGCTGGAAGAAGCCTGGGTCCCGATAACCTTGTGGCATCCCTATTCCTGTCCCAAACCCGTCACTGGTCAACATTTTATAAATGAGAGAAAAACGAACCCTCTCTCGGCCTATCTAGGATTTCAAACAAAAAGCACAATCCAGACTCTGGTGATACTCTTCCCTGACCCCTGGGGGCTGCCCCTGCCATTCCCACCCCAGGACCGTAGTCTTGGGGGACTAGCTCTCTGGACCCCTACATACCAACATACTGTCTGGGATTCCAGTCAACAGGCTACAGTGTCCTGGAGCTCTAGCCCGCGCTAGCATCTTATCATACTTGGGTTCCTTTGGGGGAAGCTCAGCTCAAGTAATTTAGCCATGACGCACGTCCGTTGTCCCTGGGGCCGCTCAACCCGAAAGGCCCTTGTCATCCACCGCCTCCCGCTCTCAGCCCCACACCGTTAGGGGCTTCTTCCTGGACACTAGCTTCCACTCTTCCTGCCCTCTCCCCATCACACCTACTGCATCGTCCGCTAAACAAACTCCCCTCCCTCACCGTCGGCTGAGCTGAGCTCTCTCCGGGCCTCCCTCCCCCCGTGCAGCCTTAGCAAACGAAGGCTGCTCATCCTTCCACGCTGCGCACACGCACGGGCCAGCTGAAGGTGGCACCTGGTTGCTCCACTCTTGGTCACAATCTCCTACTTCTCTACTTCACGGAAAAGCCACTGTTCCTTGAGGATGCGCTTAAATAGCTCTACGGTCCTCTCTGCCCTTCCTCGCCATTGTCATCAACCGATGTGGGGACATCTATGCGAATGACCAATCCGATGTCCTAGCCTGACAGTTCTTTGACCTCTATTCCAGTCACCACAGTCTCCCCGGTCACCGCACCATGGCCACCACCTTGGACTTGATCATCACCTCTGAGCTTGAACTCCAACACCGAAAGCTCTAGTTTGTCGGGCTTTCTCGTAATCTCCTCATGCTGCTCCTTTGGACCTTTTGAAAGCCCGTTCCCTTGACATCTTCATTTTCTTCCCATCTCCTGCCTTCCTATCTGGACTCTAATAAAACATAACCTCGATTCTAAGGCGCATCATCCCTTCAGAGACACTCCTGACAATACCCCCACGGCCCACACTCTTGTCTTCCTCCACCACGGCCACCAAAGGGAGCCCCGACCTTGCTTACCCCACTGGCTGCTTCTCTCTATCCCATCACCGGGCTGCTGAGCAGTGCTCCCCAAAAATGACACGTTGTGCACATCGCTTCTTCAACAAAACCATGATCTCCAGCCCTTCCCAGACCCCGAGCACTGCCCAAATCACCACTGAACGGTGCTCGCCTATTCGCTGGCATAGGCGAGGTATCATTTACCAGGATGTCCTACATCCTCTGGCCTCACAGATTGACACATGGAAATGACAATGGCACGAGTCCCCATTCTAGCCTCCTCTCTGGGGCTGAACGTCAGGAGCTGACTAAAGCACCAAGTTGATTTTGAGAACCCATCCGGGCCTTTGTCATAAGCAGGGAGGGGTACTGGAAGACACTGGGGGTCCCTGCTCCAGGGGTTGGGAAAAGCCTCCTTGTGACCAGGAAAGCCTGTCCTGTCCCCCCCCCTTACAGACCTCAGGAGACTTCAGCTCCGCGTGGGAGGTGCATCCTTCACCTCATCTGTAAGATGACAGCTGGGCCTTGGCCAACACCCCGACCCCTTCTGCTTGGGCTCTTGATGCCTCGCTGAGACCATACCCACCTGCGGGCAGACCCGAGGTAGCCGCTGTGTTTGGTCCTCTTTTTTTTTTTTTTTTTTTTAAGATTTATTTATTTGTGATAGAGAGAGGCAGAGACACAGGAGGAGGGAGAAGCAGGCTCCATGCAGGGAGCCGGGCATGGGACTCGATCCTGGGACCCCAGGATCACACCCTGGGCCAAAGGCAGGGGCCAAACCCCTGAGCCACCCAGGGATCCCATCTCTTCTTTTTTTCCAGGAGAAAAAAAGAGGAATGACCACGGAATAGTCTGATTTCAGACGTCGAGAAGTCACGTTGTCTTCAGATGCCAAGAACTGCCCTCCTCCAGGCCAACACGTCGGCCTCTTCTGGTCTCATACACGCGGGTACGAAACAGGAGACTCGTGGGCTGGGGAGCTGGGCTTTGTCACTCACGGGACAAGATGCGGCGGGAGGAGGCGGTCCAGGCTCCCCTGTGTTCCCCCCCTCCCCCCCCACCCCAGCCGCCTCCTGCAGCAGGGACACCACTGGGCCACGGGACATTAGGCAGCAACTGAATTCCTCTTTCCCTCTCAGTCATTTTGTTTTCAGAGCCCGTATATTTTGCTGACGCTGTTGCTCAGGACACTTTGGGGATTGCCTTTTTCAGGTAGAAAAAATCGTGTGAGATGGGGCAGCCCGGGGGAGGGGGGCAGGGGTTTAGCGCCACCTTTGGCCCAGGGCGTGATCCTGGAGACCCGAGATCGAGTCCCACATCAGGCTCCCTGCGTGGAGCCTGCTTCTCCCTCTGCCTGTGTCTCTGCGTCTCTCTCTCTCTCTGTCTCATGAATAAATACATAAAATCTTAAAAGAAAAAGTCAAAGTATTATCCACCCGGCAGCACCAAGCCGAGCCTCGTCTACCTGACTGTGCCAGGTGACTTGGGACACCTCAAGTGGATTCACGCCTCCACACCAGGCAGGCTGTCACTGAAGTTCCACAGCCTCGTGTCTAATCCAGCCACCAACACTCTCACGCGGGGGACGGCCCCCGGCTTGCCCCCCAGGACACCAGTGGGCCCTGGACATCAAGCTGGTTGCTGGAAGTCAACAGCATTGGAGTTTTGAGGGGACTGAAGCCTGAGGAGATACACTTGCTGCCCAGAAAGCCTGGAACCCTCACCTTTCCACATCTGTTGGGGTCTCTGGACACCCATGGAAGTTTCTAGGTCCCTCTTTCCTATCCACGTCCCTTTAAAAATCTTTTTCTTCGGGGGTCCAAGCTGCAGTCACACCGGCTGAATGGGAGGCATTTTGTGCTCTCCCTCATTTTTTGGCTCCTCAGATTTCTAGCAGTGCCCTCTTGCGACAGCCTATGTGCACGCGTGTGGCTGCCACCAGGCAAACAGCAAAGAGAGCTGCCTTCAGCATCCCCTGCTCTCTCTTTGTTCTCTTTCTCCCCTCCTCGGTGTCTTGTGAACTCATGCCTCTTTCTGGATACCTAGAACCTTCCATTTCAGTCACCCCTGAAATCTCAAAGAATCCAATCTTTCACACGTTTCATTCTTGCCCCTTTCACCCCTGTCAACACTCGTCCTCTGTCCCATTGCGCTGGTCTCCGACAGGTGAAGGGAGGCCACGGGCATCAGATAACTCAGGTGTAGGGCATCAAGGGCTGCAAGTGTAACCTTTCTGATACCTGTTCCTTTATAATCGCAGCTGCCAGTGCTTTAATCCGAAGGAGCAGGTGCGAAGGCAGTTTCAGCACCATCTAGGATCAGGGGTGCTCCTCTGATTGGCCCTCCGATCACACAGCTACATTAGGACGGGGGCCGTGTCAGCTAGTGTTTGCTGGTAGCAGGCCCCAGAACCAGACCTCGGCTAAACGGCAAAGGGAAGTGATGGTAAGGAGACAGGAATGGGCAGGTGCATGGGGAGACTGGCACCCCAGCCTTGGAAACGGGCTGCTGGGCTGGAAGCGGACTGTGGGGAGTAGCCACTGCCGCCCAGAGGGCCAACATCACTGGGACGGTCTCGTGCCGCACTGGTCTCATTACTCTCCACATTAAACTGACATTTGGGGTGTGGGGGGTATGTAATGGGTCCGCTGGCTCGTGAGGCCACACCGGCTAACAGACAGCCGCCCCCAAATGGGTGTTCAGAAGGTGGGCCGAAAGCCACATGGCCCAAACCCACCAAAGTCCCCCCCATCACGTAAAAGCTGGTATCGAGTGCATGCAGTTGCCCCACCACCTACCAGTTCAAGATATTCCCTCCTGTCAGGGCAAAGAAGCTGATGCCTTCGTTCTCTTCAGCAACTAGAAAACTAGGCAGTTTTGGGGTTGGGTTTGAAATACATAACTATGAACACTATTATCTGAGCCAAATGATGCAACACCTACAATCTGTTAGGTTGTTGCAGGGGGACAATGAGGCCAACGTGTAGATGTGCGTCTCGGGCACCGTCAATCAGAACGGCAGACTTCCAGCCACAGGTGTCTCCCCCTGAAGACTCAGAAGACCTGCAAGAAACATGGTTACCCTTTATATAGTCGTTTTTGATGAATGGCCCTTCGGGCAGCACGCCCGGCTCACGCCACGGCAGGAGGGCTGTGGCCGATGTGTCCGGGGCCAGGCCATGAGGACAGGCCCTGAAGCCACACGGCACAAGAATGAAAGAGGAAGTAGCAAAGACTGATGATTTCTAGTCCGATGCTGATGCCTCGCTCCTCCGATGAACTGTTATTGGAAAAGACCTCCTTGTAAATGAAAAACCTGAGAACCAAAGTGAGGTGAGGCATTTCCTGGAGCAACGCAAACAGGATCACCAGCCAACTGTCCTTCTGGCAATGGGCCACACGGACAGGATGAGATCCCACGTATGTAGCAGGCTTTGGCTCAGATTTCTTAGCAGAAATGCAAAAGGCAACTGAGCGGGCAGGCAGAGGTCTTTGAGCAGCGTCAGGATCCTCTCATCCCACTTCTTTTTGTACCTTTTCTATATTTTTCTGAATAAATGGCAACTTTGAAGCATCCCTAGTAACAAAGTAGTATAAATGTTTTTTCATTGCTTCTGGACGTTCGTCCTGTGATACACACCACCAAGTGACAAGTGCTTGCTGGCCTTGCACTTCTCTGCTAATCTGTGATCGTAGAATGACTCATTCTAAAGAAATGAGCAAGAGGGACCAACAGCTTGGAAAAGAATAAGCGGTATGGAAATGACCCCAGATTATGGCAGGTAGAAGGGGGTGTTAAATGAGACTTCTCTTGACTCAGGGTTTTGCCAGGCCCCAAAGTTGAGCATAGGGCTGAGTGCCCTCTGGTTCTAAAGAGACACAGTGTACCATCTGTACAGGCTAGGTGGAGAGCCCGAAACTACTTCTGCGTCCTGTGGTTCCTCACCCCCCTTCAGCTCGTGTATAGGAGAAGGCAAGAGTGGGAGAGGGCTGTTAGAATTCTAGAAGTTTATCTTATTACTAGATGGTTAAAAAGGCCAGCCTAATCTAATATGGAAACTTCAATCAGTCATCCAATTCAAAGCTCTGGCTCCCTCTCAGTTCAGGTGTGACCTGTAACTCTGTGGAAGAGCAAAGGGAACGTTATGTGGATTAAGTTCTTCACTCTCCTATTGCACACTTTCTGCACTATTTTCTGGTTTCTCCAGGGTAAGGATGGCAGGAGGAAGGGATGGTAACACAGGTCTGTTTAGAGTCAAATGTCCACCTTTGTCTTCACATGACCTTCACTCAATCCCAGTGTCTTGTCTTCTGTTACAAGGATTGTCTCTCGTTGGATTTGGGGCCCAACCAGGTGATCCAGGATCCAGTTTCTTGTCTGTCCAGATCCTTAATTATATTTACAAAGCCCCCCCCCCCATTTTTTCCCAAGTAAAGTTGCCTGGACAGGTTTGGGGGAGGCAGATTTAGGAAGTGGCTGTATCTATCTTGGGGGCCGGGGCACCATTCAACGCACAACACTCATCAAATTGTTTCATGGAACCTGAAAGTGACCGGGAAAGCTGCGCGGTTTGCTCAAGCTCCAGCCCTGGAGCAGCTAAGGGGCAGGAGGGCCAACAGAGCAGCAGTGAGAAAAAATGAGTTTGTTATACCCTATGGAGCGTCCCTGCTCGACCAGTTAGATTCATAGGTGTCTCACTTAGTTCTTGTGATAGAACCCATCCTACGGCAGAAATAGCCCTTTGAAACTAAAGCCCCGAGTTTTACCGTCGCTTTGATTTTATCGGACCGTTGCAGGGAGAGAGTGTCCGGATGAGCGGTGCCACGGCCACCTGGCGAATGTTCAGGACTTCCGTACCAAGGGACGCGGGCTAGGGCTGCAATACATACTTGTTAATTAATTACTGCATGAAATCAATCGCACTTCCGGCCACCGTTTTGTCAACCGTTCAGCTGAGCGCTGCCTTGACTGAGAGCACAAAGCGTACGCCGTGGAGTTAGTTCAACACACTTCGCGGCTGAAAAACGCTCCTGAGCGCAGCTGCCTTCAACTCAGGCCCCGGAGCCACGCCGCCCGCCGCGCCCGCGGTCGCCCCACAGCGGGCGGCGGCGCCGGCTTGACGGCCGCCGGTCGCTCTGCGCAGACGCCACGTACCCAGCACGCATGCGCCCGGCCCGTGGTCTCCGGCCGCCGGCCTCGGATTGGTGGAGTCTCGGTGGCCCCGCCCCGCGTGCCGGAAGCTCTGTCCCGGCGCCGACGTCTCCGGAGATGCCCGGGCGTGTGCGCTTCTCGGTGAGCGACGCTCTGGGTTGTCGCGTGTGTGCGCCCGGCGGCGCTCGGGGACGCGCACCCCTGTTCGGGGACGCTCACCGCTGCTCCGGGAGGGCGCGGGGGGCCGCGGTGCGACCCGGGGCGGGCGGGCCCTGTCGCGCCCTCGCGCCTCTTCTCGGGCTGACGTCGCTGGGGTGGGCGGATCCCCGGGGGCCGCCGCCGCCTCCGAGCTGGCGGCCCGCGCGCCCCTCTCCCGAACCCGAGCCCGGGCCCCCGCGGGCCCTTGCGCTGCTCCCTTCTGCCCTCTGCACCTGTGACAAGGGGCGTCCTAACACGAAGGGGCACTAGCGCAGTGTTGCGTGGCTGTTCGGAAACCGCGGCGCCCCGACCCAGCGTTTGGCATCGGTTCTCTCCCTGGGGGAAGGGGCTCCCCTGTGTAGCTGCAGAGCTGTACGTGGGTTATGACTAGAAACAAAATTTCTCTTTGATCGCTCGTTGCCCCCCGGGGATTAAGCCAGATGTGTGCAGCGTGCCCATATTAGTTAATATTAACAAGCTTTTATATGCATTCAGTCCACAGATATGTAGGGCCTGCTCCTGCCCGCCCGGCATAGACTCATTTTCATGTATATTCAGAAGCTGGGGCAATAGGTGTGCACGTAAGCGTTATCTGTATTAGCATATGCTCTAGAACTGTGTTGTCCCATAGGTAACCACGAGCTACATGGAGCACTTGAAATGTTCCTGGTCCTAATTGAGATGCGTCAGAGTGTCAAACAGCGAATTTGGGGGAAATAAGTATGAAAAAGAGAATGTAAAATATCAACAATTTGTTTTTATTGATTACATGTTGAAGTGGCAGTATTTTGGATACACTGCTTAGGTACCATGCCATTACCTTCACTCGTTTATTTTTTAACGTGGGTACTAGAAAATTTTAAATTTTATCTGTCGCTTGCGTTGTATTTCTGTTGGATAGCACTGCTTTAAAAGGGCTCAGCAAACTGTGGCCTACAGCCAAATCCAGCCTAGCTGTCTTTGAAAAACATTGGAGGAAAGCCATACTCATTTTTTTATTTTTTTAATTTTTATTTATTTATGATAGAGAGAGAGAAAGAGAGGCAGAGACACAGGCAGAGGGAGAAGCAGGCTCCATGCACCGGGAGCCCGATGTGGGACTCGATCCCGGGACTCCAGGATCCCGCCCTGGGCCAAAGGCAGGTGCCAAACCGCTGCGCCACCCAGGGATCCCCATACTCATTCTTTTATGTGTCGTGTATGGCTGCTGTTCCTGCTACCAGAGCAGCAGAGTTGAGTAGTCCATACAGAGATTGGATGGCCTGCACAGCTTACAGTATTTACTATCTGGCCTTTTCCAGAAGAAGTTCACCAACAAAGTTCTATACAACAGTGCCTGCCATGGTAGATCCATGTCACGTGAATCTTTAATTATAGTCCTGTGTAATTGTCATGTAGTCTTACTGTGTGACAGGCATGGCTCTAAGGACTTTATAAGGACTATCTCATTTATTTCCCATATTAAACCTAAGATGCGGAATTTCCCCAGTTTTGTAGGTGAAGAAACCAAGGCACAGAATCATCAAGAAACTTACAGAACATGCTCAACGCCCCTCGGCTTCTGTGAACTCTAGCTTCTTGACCCTTCTTATCCCTGCAAGCTTGATCTCTGCGGTCCACTCAACCCACAGTGGGCACCATGGTGCTGCTACTGCTACTGCTGCTACTCCTTTTTGTTTTGTCTTTTACATAACTTTTCGAACTAGAATTGAGATGAGGTTGGCTCATGTGGGAGAAGCTGAGGGGCAGTGAGCTTAGGTGCAGTGGGTACGAGCAAGCTGGTCTGTAGTGCAAAGAATGAAGTGTACAGGGGCGCCTGGGTGGCTCAGTCAGTTAGGCGTCTGCCTTTGGCTCAGGTCATGCTCTTGAGGTCCTGGGATCCAGCCACGCGTCAAGCTCCCTGCTCAGGGGTGTGTCTGCTTCTCCCTCTGCCTCTGCCCCTCCCCTCTGGTTGTGCTCCAACCTAAATAAAAAATCTTAAAAAAAAAAAAAAAAGAATGGGGCGTACAGGCAGAGACGAGAGGAAGCACTCTGGATCCTCTTCTCTCATTTAATAATAATTTGTTGAGTAATAGTAAGAACTGGCCAGGTGTCTGCCGGGGCGTGTCTCAGTGAATGAAACAGACATCATTCTCTTATGGTCTTGTGGGGAAAGCAGACAATAAAAAACATTTTAGGGACGCCTAGGTAGCTCAGTGGTTGAGTGTCTGCCTTCGGCTCAGGGCGTGATCCTGGGGTCCTGGGATCGAGTCCTGCATCGGGCTCCACGCAGGGAGCCTGCTTCTCCCTCTGCCTGTGTCTCTGGGTCACTCTCTGTGTGTCTCTCGTGATTAAATAAGGAAAATCTTTTTAAAGAATAATTTCAATGTAGTCCGCACAATGAAAAACCATCACAAATATTTGATTTTTTTAAAGACTTTTTTAAATTAAAAAAAAATTTTATGATTTTTTTAAAGATTTTTTATTTATTCATTCATGAGAGAGAGAGAGAGAGAGAGAGAGAGAGAGAGGCAGAGACACAGGCAGAGGGAGAAGCAGGCTCCATGCACCGGGAGCCCGACGTGGGACTCGATCCCGGGTCTCCAGGATCGCGCCCTGGGCCAAAGGCAGGTGCTAAACCGCTGCGCCACCCAGGGATCCCCATGATTTTTTTTTTTAACAGGCTTCCTCATCTGGAAGATGGAGATAAGCCGTATACCTGACTTGGGATCTTCGCAAGGATGGAGATGACATAAATGTGTGTGGCACGTACAGTTCAATAAATGTACATTGCCTTCTGCTGTTAAGAGGTAAGGGAGGGAATAAGTCCAGGGAACTGGGTGCATCATGACACTTAAGACATTGCAACCACCAGTTATAATTGTAGAGAAGAGTCTCAGGTGAGCTGTGCACAGGAGGTGTTTTTAATATTTCCTAATGGGGCTCAGTCAGCAAAATCCAAAAGCAGGGAAGTTCTATACATTCACTGGAGGAGCAGGTCAGGAGCTGTCTTTGGGCTGATGGCAGTATAACTGAGTCGGTCCTGTCGCAGGAGGGCCTTGTGCTAGTGTGTGTATAGAGCAGTGGCAGCAGCTCTGCTTTAAATCAGAGTCACTTGGGCAGCTGAGAAAATAGCCAGGCCTACCCTCAGGGATTCCCATCCATTCTTTCTGGGACAAGGCCCTGGCATTGTTTTTGTTTTTGCTGTTTAATTTCTCCAGATGATTGAGGTTTATGGTCAGGCCTGATGCCACTCGTGGTGAGAATTAGGCTTAGCTCAGGGAGTTTCTGACAAAAGACAGAGAGCTGTGAAATGGGCAGTGCCTTTCTGTGGTTCAGTGAGGTCATGAGGAAGGCTGAAAGGGGCTTTTTTTTTTTTTTTTTTGTAAAACATTTTATTTACTTATTCATGAGAGACACAGAGAAAAAGGCAGAGACAGGCAGAGAGAGAAGCAGGCTCCCCGTGGGGAGCCCAGTGTGGAACTTGATCCCAGGATCCCGGGATCATGCCCTGAGCCGAAGGCAAACGCTCAACCACTGAGCCACCCAGGTGCCCCTGGAAGGAGTTTTTATTACCCAGCCAAGGACGTTGGAGCACCATCCTGAGACCAGAGAGGAACCTTTGAGGGGCTTTAAGTGGGAAAATGAGGGAATGGCTTGATGAGATCTATACTAGAGGTTGATCCCTCTAACAAAGTGCCATGAATCAGAATGAATGCAGTGAAGAAGCCTTTAGAGCCGGCCCCCAGATGGTCGGAAACCCAGATTCGAGTCCAGTATTCCTGCTACGAATGTCCTCTAGCGGCCCCGTCTATCCTTTGGAGATACCCTGTGTTATAAGTGGCCAGTTTCTTGTCTGTATTCCTTCCACTGGGCTGTCCGCTTCCTCAAAGCAGAGAATATCTCTTTTTTAATTTTTTTAAAAGATTTTATTTATTTATTCATAGAGACACAGAGAGAGAGAGAGAGAGAAGCAGGTTCCATGCAGAGAGCCTGACGTGGGACTCGATCCCGGGTCTCCAGGATCAGGCCCTGGGCTGCAGGCAGCACTAAACCGCTGAGCCACCGGGGCTGCCCGAGAAGATCTCTTTAGGCTCAGCATCTAATATGTACTAGATATATAATAAATATTTATTGAATGAACTCTGTAGAGCTGTAAACTGGATACACAGCTTACTTATCTTCTTAGGGCAATTCTCAAAATTTTGTGTCTCAGCTGCTTTCACAGTATTCCCTCCTAAGGGCAATAAATGCTTCATATCCACATCATTGTCCCATAGGGGGAATAGAAAGTTTGACAGGATTTTGGGCAGCCCGGGTGGCTCAGTGGTTTAGTGCCGGCTTCCGCCCAGGGTGTGATCCTGGAGACCCAGGATCGAGTCCCACCCACATCGGGCTCCCTGCAGGGAGCCTGCTTCTCCCTCTGCCTGTGTCTCTGTCTCTCTCTCTGTGTGTATCTCGCGTGGATAAATAAATAAAATCTTAAAAAAAAAAGTTGACAGGATTTAAATGCTGTTAAAAATAATGGAGAAGAATGGAAAACAGTATGGCAGTTCCTCAAAAAATTGCAAGTAGAATTACCATATGACCCAGCAATCCCACTTCTGGGTATTTACCCAAAAACATTGAGAGCAGGGTCCCAAAGAGATACATGTATACCCATGTTCATAGCATTATTCACGATGGCCAAAGGGTGAAAGCAACTCAAGTGTTTATCAGTGGATGAATGGCTAAGTAACATGTGGTCTATATATACCATGGAATATTAATAACATTCTTACTAATATTTATTACTTATTTATATTTCTTTAATTCATTGATTTATTATTAATATTAATATTCCATTGCATGTATAGACCACTTGTTCCAGGACACATGCTACAATACAGGTGAACTTTGAGAACATTATACTAAGTGAAATAAGCCAGTCACAAAAAGCCAAATACTGTTTGATTCCACTTACATGCAGTAGGTAGTCAAAATCATGGAGACAGAAAGTAGATTGATGGTTGCCAGGAGCTATGGGGGAGAAAGGAACAGGGAGTTGTTTAATGGGTACAAAGTTTGTTTTGCAAGAGAATAAGTGTTCTGGAGGCTGGTTGCACAACAACATGAATGTACTTAACAATTGAACCATATGCTTAAAAATGGCTAAGATGACAAGGCCTCTTTTTTTTTAAGATTTTATTTATTTATTCAGACACAGAGAGAGAGGCAGGAACACAGACAGAGGGAGAAGTAGGCTCCCTGTGGGGAGCCCTATATGGGACTTGATCCCGGGTCTCCAGGATCACACCCTGGGCCGAAGGCAGGCGCTAAACCACTGAGCCACCCGGGGATCCCTAAGATGACAAGTCTATGGCATGTGTATTTTACCACAATTAGAAATGGAAAAGAAAGAAATACAGAGGAGAGGTAAATAAAAGGACATGTGAAATAAAGAGCAGAGTGCTCATGCATGAATCCATTAACATCTATAGATTTATAGAAAGGAAAAAAAAGTTTTGCTGGTAAAACAAACTGCTGTTCTCATCGCACTGAAGCCCTGAAGCTATTCCCCTTCAGAATCTCCTTGAGACTCTGACCGTTTGTTGAGAAATTCTGACCTGAGTTAAATATTGCCTAACCTCTTTGTGGGCACTCTAGACCTCTCTCTGATTAACCACCTTGTCAACATCCAGCAAACGTCAATCCTGATTTCTTCAGTAGTGATGCCTATGGAATGAATATGGAATGCAGGCAAGATGAGTATTTCATGTTCGAGAGGAGATTCAACTGGTTTAGACTCAGCAATTGGAGTTACGATAGGAAATTGTGAATGCTAATCTGAAGGCAAAGCCACCGGTCACATAACACCTATATGATATTCTGATTCCAGAGGGAAGGTGGAAGACTGATCCATTTACTGTGCCATTTTCCAGTAGGCAAATATTTGTAAGTATGTGGAATTGGTCATGAAATTATATTGGATGAATCACTTTTCTGGTTATGAAAATAATATATACTCATCATAGAAAATCCAGGAAGGAATAAAAACAAACAAAAGTCATCTAAAAATCTTACCATTCAGAAAATGTCACTACCTAAAATTTTGTGTATCTGTTTTTGACCTTTTCTCTTCATATGTGATTCCTAAATAAAATTTGAATCAGACTCTATATGCTGTTTTTATTTATTTTTTATTTTTTTTAAAGATTTTATTTATTTAACAGAGAGAGAGCATGCAAGCAGGGGGAGCAGTAGGCAGAGGGAGAGGTAGAAACAGGCTACCCGAGGAGCAGGGACCCCGGTGTGGGGCTCAATCCCAGGACCCCAGAATCCTAACCTGAACCAAGGGCAGATGCTTAACCCACAGAGCCACCCAGATGCCCCATATATGCTGTTTTTAAATGACAGCTTTATTCAGGTATCATTTATACACCATACAGTTCACCTCCTTAAAGTGTACACTTCAGTGATTTTTAGTATATTTACAGTTGTGCAGTTCACCACCACAGTCAACTTTAGAGAAGATTGCTTACTTTCTTCAAGAAAAACTACACCTGTTGGCAGCCACCCCCCTTTCATTCCACCCCACTGCCCCCCTCATCCCTCCGCCCCAGTCCTAGTCAACTACCAGTCTATTTTCCATCTCTATAGATTTGCCAATTCTGGACATTTCATATAAATGGAATCATACAATATGTGGTCTTCTGTGTTTTTAACTTAGTGTTTTCGAGGTTCATCCATGTTTTAGTATATATCAGAATTTTTTTTTTTTTTTGGCCAAATACCATTCTCTTGTATGGATAGGCTACATGTTTATCTATCAGTTGACAGGCATTCAGGTTGTTTCTACTTTTTGGCTATTAAGAATAATGCTGCTATGCACATTTATGTGCAAGTTTAGCCATTTGGGACCTTGCAGTTTCTTCAAAGTTTGAAGAAAATTCTTACATGTACAGCTTCCACATCTTTTGTTACCCTAATGTAAACTTACAGAAGTAGAATTGCTGACTAAAAGAACATTGCATTTTACAGAACTTGTCAGATGGTTTCTAAGAAGGCTGCATTAAAAAATAAAAAATAAGAAGGCTGCATTGATCTTCTCTGTGCTCCCTTCGGTGTTATTAGCCTATGTGCTTAGTGATGGGCTTTTTTTTTTAAGATTTTATTTATTTATGTATTTAGAGAGAGTGCATGTGCGAGCAAGGGGAGAAGCAGAGGGGGAGGGAGAGGGAGTCCAGCAGACTCCCTCACTAAGGGCAGAGCCCAAGATGGGCTCTATCCCATGACCCTGAGACCATGCATGACCTGAGCCAAAACCAAGAGTCAGATGCCTAACCGACTGAGCCACCCAGGGGACCCAGTGATGGGCATTTAATATCAAGTGCTATAAAATGGAAGCCCATGAGTTTTTGAAAAGACAGGGTCCCTGGCATCAAGATGCATATGTCCATTTTTAGACCAGATGAGCAGATGTAGGTACAAGGGTATTAGGTAGCAAGGTTATGTACATTATAAGGAGAGAAAAATAGAATGGTTAGATAAAGTAAACACCTGCCTGGGATGAGATTCACAGAGATATAATCATCAAACAACTTTTTATACCTAGAAGCTAAACGAAAAAGTTAATGGAACCAAACTGGCCTACGACTAGTTGGTCCAAAGTCATAAAATATCCAGATTGCTTAGTCTGAATGCTTACCCTGTTTTTCAGAAGACTTGGATATCAGCACAGTGCCCATTGGCTCTTCGGGCTTATCAGATCTGGCTCCGGCTGCTTTGCAGCCTCTATTATCTCACCATTTCGTCACTAAATAGCATCCCCTTATTGCCCTGTTTCTCATTCTTGTGTATTCAGAAAAGTACAAATTAAAGATGATAAAATCCACAAGTAGTTCAGCTTTATAACTGAATATGGGAAGAAATGGGCCAGCCTTGCTCAGACTTACCCTGTTGATGCTGACACTGGCATGATCTCATGCCCAATGTGACTACCAAATTCCATCCAAAGCAATTGACCCATCTGGATCCAGAAAGACTATTAATCTGTAAAATCTGGGATGGAAAAAGTTATAGAGCTCTTCCAACAAGCTTCTTTTAAGCAACTGTTAATGCGGAAGCTGGTTACAGTGCCGCTTTTTTTTTTTTTCCAACTACTGCGACTCAGCCTTTTGAAACTAAACCATACCACATTGCAGATTCCATTTTCTAACAGGTCACACCCACTTGTGTTACACAACTCTTTCAGAAAACACCACATAGGTAGTTGGCAGAAAGTGCCCTGCTATTATCAGGAAGTTTGACTGGCAAACACAAGCTTGAAAAAAACAGAAACCTCTTTTCTCTTTTCCTTGCAGCTGTAAAGATGTCTGACAAGAACCAGATAGCTGCCAGCGCCTCCCTTATTGAGCAACTGCTGTCTGAAAGGAATTTTGAGGATCTTGGCAACCACCTTACTGACCTGGAGACTCTGTGTGTGACGAAAGAAGATCTCCAGGAGACCATTGTGGTCAGGGCTGTGTACAGAGTCCTCAAACACTGCCCCTTGGTGGCTTTGAAAAAGAAAGCCAAACACTTGCTGTCAGAATGGAAAGCTCTTTATAAAAAGGATCTCCACTTCAAACCGAGGGACAAATCTTTCCCTACGGGTAGAAATGAAGAAAACTCAAGACTTTCTCATGACCCAAGTCAGGATGAGCTATCAGGCGGCTCCAGCTCTAATTCTTCATCACACAGTGTTGCAGAAGCCATTGAAATGATTGTGCCTGAAAATAGCACAAGTCAGACGGAACCTAAGGAGGAGCATTTCAGGGGCGGTGACCCTAAATCCACTGCCCAGAGATCCAGTGAATTGCTGGATCCCGTGGTACCTGTGAGAGCTAAATGCACAGAGCTTCTTTATGAAGCTTTAACTAGTCCTTTCACAGAGCAGCCCAAAGCTGATTTGTGGCGAGACTTTGCAAGAGAAATTGAAGAGCACATTTTTACCCTTCATTCCAAGAACCTCAAAAAATACAAAACTTGTGTGAGAAGCAAAGTTGCCAATCTGAGGAACCCCAAAAATTCTCACTTACAACAAAACCTGCTCTCTGGGACCATGTCTCCAAGAGAATTCGCCAAGATGACTGTGATGGAAATGGCAAACAAGGAACTGAAGCAGTTGAGAGCCTCCTACACGGAATCTTGCATACAGGAGCATCACCTTCCCCAAGCGATCGAGGGCACACACACAAGAAAAATAAAATGCAGACGCTGTGAGAAGTTCAATTGCAAGGTCACCGTAATCGCCAGAGGCACACTTTTCCTTCCAAGTTGGGTACGGAATTCAAATCCAGATGAGGAGATGATGACCTATGTGATCTGTAACGAATGTGGGGAGCAGTGGTACCATAGCAAGTGGGTGTGCTTATAATTGTAAATAAATGTTCTCTTAACCAAGAACCAGAGTGATACCTTTTTTTTGATACCACCCTGTTATGCTTGCTTTTAAAATCTAATACAGGGGGGAAGCCCGGGTGGCTCAGCAGTTTAGCCCCTGCCTTCAGCCCAGGGCGTGATCCTGGAGTCCCGGGGTCGAGTCCCACGTTGGACTCCCTGCGTGGAGCCTGCTTCTCCCTCTGCCTGTGTCTCTGCCTCTCTCTCTCTCTCCCTCTCTCTCTCTCTCTCTGTCTCTCATGAATAAATAAAATCTTTTTAAAAAAATTTTAAAAATAATAAAATAAAATCTAATACACACTATGTTCTTAAAACAACCCTAAGAAGAAGGAAGGAAAGTCATTCGTTCAAGCTCACACCACAATCACTAAAATGTGACCGTTTGGGGAGAAAGTTGATGACTTTTTGTTTTGTGGCCACGTATTACTCTGCTGTTCTCTGAGTGTGGCTGAGAGCAGCTCCTCCTGCCCTAGAGCCTGTTAGAAATGCAGAGTCCCAGGCCTTGCGCTCCTGAGTCCCAACTCTGAATTTTGGCAGAGCCTCAGGTGATCCTATTCAAGACAGTTTGAGAAGTGCTGCTTTCTCAGTAGGCCTGTAGTCCTGGGCGGCTGCCTATGAGAGTCCTCTGGGGAGCCTTGACAACCCACAGATGCTCAGGGCCCTCCCCAGAGCAATTGAATCCGAATGCATGGGCTGCAACCCCAGGCATCGCCATTGCTTTTTTTTAATTCCTCAAGGTGTTTTGAGATGCAGTCAGAGTTGAGAACTGCTCACACACAGGCTCTCACTTGATTGTCTCACAGCTCTAAGAAAAGAATGTCGCTCTGTATGATAGAGCTTTTGAATATACAAGGTGAGGTCCCCAGCCCGATGGCCAGTCTTTGGTGCAAAATAGTGGTTTTATTAAAGCACAGGGGACAGGACCTCTGGGCAGAAGGAGCTGGTGCCCCAGGCTTGTGACACATGACTGATTATATACTTGGGAATAGGGGGTAAGGAAAAAGGGGTTTTCTAAAGAATTTCTGTATGCACAAGAGGACCTGTAAGATACTGGAGGCCTTGCCATTGTCAAGGTTGTTTTTCCCTGTAGTAAAGCATTAATATTAAGGCAGTTGGGAGTTTCCTTCTGGAAGTTAGGTTATCAATAGGAATGCTTTTTTTTTTTTTTTTAAGATTATTTGAGAGAGAGAGAGCACAAGCAAGAGGAGCAGCAGAGGGAGAGGGAGAAGCAGACTCCCCGCTGAGCAGGGAGCCTGATGTGGGGCTGGATCCGAGGACTCCAGGATCATGACCTGAGGTGAAGGCAGATGCTTTACCGACTAAACCACCCAGGTGCCCCAAGAATGCTTTTCTTTTATAAATCACTGAGATATTCTGTAAAATGAGGGAAACTCAGGTCTACTGGACTATATAAGTTAACCATTTGTCTCTCCTTTCCTATAGCTTTAGGGCAGCCAGGAGTGCCTAGGGAATGTCACACACATCCCACTCTGGGGGGGCCGGGGTCATGGAGGTGTCAACTTGTACTTTGTCCTCAGCTTGCCTTCTGCTCCCTCATCATTAGGAAACGGGTCCTCAAAGGTGCCATGACTTGGCCGAGCCATACAGCCTTAGCCAGCCCCACTCCAACGGCTCCCACACTGTCCTCCTCCAAATTCTCCATGCAGGACCTTTAGGAATGGATTCCTGGCCATGTGGGACGAGATGAATAGTGTCTTTAGGCTCTGACGTTGGATAACCAGGGCTTGGTTACTTTCCCCTGTCTTTTCTCACTTTACTGGTGTCTCCCTTGAACCATGAAAGTTATCCTCTAACCTCGCAGTTAGAATTTTGCTTCTAGTCCCCTTGCCTAGTCAGAGGAGTCACGTGTTTGTTTGGGTTGGGTGTTTTGTTTTGTTTTGTTTTGTTTTGTTTTGCACAAGTTCTCCGGAGTATCTAAACTGTTGATGAAGTTTGGTTTCTGATGGTAGGGAGTCTTCATGTTCTCCAGGGCATGTGAATTTAGATCTGTAGGGGAGGAAAAAAGCTCTGCTAGGCTCTGAAGGCAGGACCCTGCAAATTAGACAATAGACCAACAGGAGAAAATCTGTTTATTAACACATGGTGCGTGATGCATAGAGGAGAAACCTGGTGATGAAGAATTCCAGTGGAGATTAGAACATGGGATTGTGGGGCGCCAGGGTGGCTCAGTGGTTGAGCGTCTGCCTTTGGCTCAGGGCGTGATCCTGGAGTTCTGGGATCGAGTCCCACATCGGGCTCCCTGTGGGGAGCCTGCTTCTCTCACTGCCTGTATCTCTCATAAATAAATAAATAAAATCTTAAAAAAAGAGAACATGGGCTTGTATAGTAGCATCTTAACAAAGAATGAAATAAGACAAAGGCAAAGGGCTTTAGGCTTTTAGGGGCAGCAGACTGTGGGAGGGTAAATATACGGGGATGGGGGTCATGGAACATAATGTCTGTGTAGTAAGGCCTGTTTCTGTGGACTTTTCTTGCTGCCACCCGAGGAGGTGGTTTCCTCCTTCCTGATACAGAATTCACAGCAGGAGATTACGTTCTGCCCTTAGGCAGGTGGATGGAAGGCCCAGAGCTTGTGTGGACTTGGTCTGTTCTCATGGGCTTTCAGCCTGGAATGATCATCATGCCCGGATGGCGTATTTGGGGGTCACATACTCTGAACCCTTTTAGGTGTGAAGTTCCAATTCTCTTTATGTAAAAACAGGCCCCGATCTGTCAGAGGTCGTCCGTTGCCTCAGCCTTTGACTCTACCAACATTAATACATGAATTGAAGAGGAAGTTCCTTCTTTAAGGCTTTTGCAGTGTGCAACTGTTTACGCCCAACACGCCTTCTGCGTGTTTATAGCTGAACAAGTTCTCTTTGGAGAACTTGTCAAATGTGAATGGTTACAGTTTTAAAAAGTTTACTTCTGAGTTCTCGCTGCACCTACACCTACACATTTTCGCCAGTTTTCTCCTACCCATCCTAACTTCCTGTGTCAGAGCTCTGAAGGTAACCAGATACACAGCTTGCCTGCCTCCTGACACAGTTCCCCAAACAGTGCCTAAAACTACAATATGTATGTGTGTTCAAATGGGTTTGAAGTAACCAAGGCCATGAGGCCATTGAGTGCAAATTCTGTTCCAGTATCTTTTTTCTTTTAAGATTTTATTTTTTTTATTCATGAGAGACACACAGAGAGAGAGAGGCAGAGACACAGGCAGAGGGAGAAGCAGGCTCCCCTCTGGGAACCCGATGTTGGGACTCGATCCCAGGACCTGGGGATCATGACCTGAGCCAAAGGCAGAGGCTCAACCTCTGAGCCACCCAGGTGCCCTCTATTCTGATATCTTTTCTCCCTGTGGCTTCCCAGGGCTGCTTATTGTGATGTAACACGCTAGTCTTTTTTTTTTTTTTTTTTTTTTTTAAGGAGAAACTTGCAAAGTCACCTAAAACTTCCAAGTTTCACAAACTGGTTTCATGTGACTTAGAACGATCTTAAAAACTATTCAGCGGTTATAAAAGAGCACATCACATGAAAACCCAGTGTTCATGTCGTGGTTTGTTTTTTTTGTGTGTGTGGTGGGGTTTTAAAAAATATTTTATGCTGGAATTGGGCAAACAATTTGGAGACGAACAGAAGCATTTAAAATGGAAATTCCTTTACTCTCCAAAATGTAAAAATCTGGGTAGTCTTTCTCATTTTTTATCAACTTTTTTTTTTTTAAATCAACTTTGTCAGGAACTTTTGGAACAAGAATAGGCAAATAGTAACGTGGGTTTTTTTCTTTTAGCCAATGAGACAGCATTACATTTTTAAGTAGAGATAATCATTCTTTCACATTTTATGTCTTATCCACTAAAAAGAAATTGTTTTCCTTAAAATTGCTTGCGGAGGTGGGGGTGGGAAAGCTTTCATTTAATTTAAAATCACTTTTATGGGAACAGCAAGTTCAATGGCCCTACTGTGGGCGGGCCAATGGGTGGCTGACACAGACCAGGTAGGGCAAGAGTCCACTGGAGCTGAGGTCCAGTGGCAAGGAGAAGAAGGACAGAGGTGAAGTCACAAGGGCCATTGGGTTCAGTAGGGCCTTTGTCAGTCATGATAAGGACTTTGGGTTTTGTCCAAGCCGGGTGGGAAGCCATTGAAACCAGGGAGTTGGTAGTGATCCCATTTGAATGGCCTTTATGAAAGTTCCCTCTGGCCGCTGTGTTAAGTTAGAGGGGGAGGGAAGCAAGCCTGGATGCAGAGATCCCCAGGCAGGTGGCCATAGCAGTAGTCCAGTTGTCACGGGACTGGTTTCAAGCAAGAGTACACGGAGACTCCTCTCCCTGCATCTTTATAGTTGACAAAGCCCTTGGTGACAGGGTTCAGGAAACCCTGCTCCAGAATCTGGTACCTTGGCATATTGAAGAAGTGGAAGGAATTTGAATAAGGGCAAGTGCAAGCAGGACTCTGCCCCTCCCTTCTCCCCTGGGGCAGGTCCTCAGACCCTCCAGTGAGAGGTGCTCTCCTCATACCCAAGGCAAGGGGCACCCTTGATCCCTGCAGAGGCAGGGACACCCAGGGGAGTCTGAACAAAGACTTTCTCGCCTTCCCCCAGCTCATGCCCTTTTGTTCTATCATATTCCTCCCTGATGTTCCACTCTTCATCAAACCTGGTACAAAAACGCACCAGTTTAGGGGTACCTGGGTGGCTTCAGTTGGTTAAGTGTCTGCCTTCAGCTCAGGTCAGGCTCCTGGGGTCCTGGGATTGAGCCCCAGGTTAGATTCCCTGCTCAGTGGGGAGTCTGCTTCTCCCTCTCCCTCGCCTCCCCCCACCACTCATTTTCTCTCTCTCTCTCTTTCTCAAATAAATACATCTTTTAAAAAAAAAGTAAAAAATCCCACACCGACTTAACTGTCTTTGGGGCTTCATTCTGTTATGAAGGCCCCTGTGTCAGGTAAAATCTATATTAAGTAAATGGGAATGCTTTC